CCAATTGGCTGCGACGGATTCGATTGGTTTGTAATTCAGGCTCGTGAGCGGCGCACCCCGCCGGACGGTTGGCGCCATCCCTTTTGTGGGGATGACACACAATCCTCACACACGGGGCTCTGGAGTCCTGACCGTCGATATGGGTCTCCTCTTTACCCACCGACGTGGCAGATGTCACCTCTGGTGCTGAAGCAGTGAAAATGCTGGACCATTTGAGAAGGGTTTTTCTCTCTCTCTCTCTCTCTCTCTCTCTTTCTCTCTCTCTCTCTCTCTCTCTCTCTCTCTCTCACACACACACACACACACACACACACACACACACACACACACACACACAAACCTTTAGGGGGCAGCTTGCTTTGGTACTATTGTCCCAACCCTCACAGGACTCCAGGAGTCTCCAAGGTCAAGTACCTCCCTATTGCAATTCTCCCAGAGGAAGAGAGAGCGAGGGCTGAGATGCTAGGAAAAAGCTAGAAACGGTGCCTGTCGTTAAAAAGCTTTTTCGGCAATCATATTATGCCCGTTTAGTCAAACGGGGGTCTCAGTGGAGGCCAGAGGAATTGAAAAATTATCAGCTGCTTTGCTAAATTACAACGGTGGTGAGAAGGCGGCGCTGAATTTGAGCGGTCCTTCGATCCCGTCTGGACTGCTAGTCCCAGCATCTGTCATTATTGGCTGAGGTTCCAGCAACATCTGGAGGGCTGCAGTTTCCCCACCTCGTCTTACAATGAGGCAGTCTGGTGTAATGATTAAGGTTCTGGGCTAGAAACCAGGAGACGGTGAGTTCTAGTACTAGCATGGTAGTTTTAGGTCAATCAGCAGGAGACGGTGAGTTCTAGTCCTGCCTTAGACGTGAAAGCTGACTGGGTGACTTTGGGCCAATCACCAGGAGATGGTGAGTTCTAATCCTGCCTTAGACATGAAAGCTGACTGGGTGACTATCGGCCAGTGACCAGGAGACAGTGAGTTCTAGTCCTCCATTAGCCATAGAAGTCAGCTTGGTGACTTTAAACCAGTCTTTCCCTCTCAGCCAACCCATCTTAGAGGGGTGCTGTTGCAGGGAAACTAGAAAGCAGGAGAATTGTGTGTGCCACCTTGAGTTGTACAAAATAAAGGCAGGATATACATCTAACAGATCAATAAATACTGTCTGCTTTATTCATAACAACAGTACATAATTAGAATGCTGGGAAATCTAAGTGATATCATTGAGATTCTTTTTTGGGGGGGCATACAAGGAGAGATGGGTTTTCCATCCTTCGGGACACACCCACACGCAGAAACACAAATGTACGCACTCTGGTAAGACAGGAACATGCTTGAATCGTTTAATCCCGTCTTCCAAGGCATTAAAGTGAGGCAATTCAACACAATTATGGGGGTAAAAAACTCCAGAGAACTCTTCTGGCTGACCGTTCAAGACTTCTAAGCCAGGTTTTAAGGCTTGGTGAGCGTCTCAACCGCTGGTTTTCTGCCGGCCCTTCCATGCCCTCCTCCTCCAACTCCTGAGTTGCAGTTTCAACCACAAAGAGTCATCAGATACAACAAGGGTGGGCAACTGTGACAACTTGACAACTCTTCCTGGCTCAGGAATTCTGGAAGTCCACAGGTTATAAAGCTGCTATAGGTCTCCATCCTTGTGAGACAAGGAACATGGCCCTCTAAAACAGGGGTCCCCAACCATGCTGGTTGGGGAATTCTGGGAGTTGAAGTCCACAAGTCTTCACGTTGCTAAGGTTGGGGACCCCTGCTCTAAAACACTGCCATCAAGAACCTGGTCTATTTCCCCCCCCCCAACAAATCCATCCAGCTTGTTTTCTTTCACTATGAAAATGGCAATTTGCTCTGTTGGTTTTTTTTTCTCTTTAGCTTAACACTCAGACAGGAAGTCAACATTTAAGATCATTTCAGACAAGACTGCTGTCTGCACGGGAAGAAAATTATTTAAAAGCCACACAACGGTTGTAAAGATCGGCACGTATGGTCTAACTGTATTTTCCCGCCAGACACGGGTTGACCAACCAACTGCTTTTAAAAGCTGCAGAGTATTTTTTTTTTTTTTATTGAAAACGACGGTTAAAAGTAAATTGGTATGACTGCGCAGGAGCTAAGATGTTACAGCCAAACCGTGCACCCCTGTAGGACGAAGGTTTTCAAAAGGCATCTTTGTGCTGTAGGAATTCCACACGGTTTTTTAAAAAACCTAACTTTGGTAAACAGAGTAACGGTTGGGCGATCCTGCCCCTCTCCCTTTCCAACTCTTTTCAGAAACAAGGGTCTGTTTTCATGTTTCAGTGTTTTAAAGAAGTCTTGGCTGCATAATATTTCCTTCCCAGCATAACATGAGTGGAATCAGTGCAATTTTGGGGGGGAGGTCTTGGATCTGCAAAAATGTTATACAAATAACCTACTAATTCGTTCAGCCATAAATATTTAGAAAATCGTAATCTAATTATCCGGCAAGGCAATCAGACCCCGTCTTCTTTAAAAAAAAAAAAAAAAAAAATCATCGGGGAAATTTCTTGAGTGAGAAAACCCTGCTCGGAGTTTCTTTTTTTCTTTTTTTAATGCGAATTAAATTGTATTAAAACGACAGCCGGCTTGAAAGCCGCAAGACACTGTTTGTTTTCCAAATTCACTTAGGATTTACATTTGTACACTAATCTTGCTGCTGACTTGGCAGTCTTTTGTGGCAGTCGGAAACTAAATATTCATGAGCTAATGAAAACCCTGTTTTATGCAGAGAAGTTTAGCTAAGGGCTTCCAGAACTGGGAGAAGGGGGGAAAAAAAACTCAGTTAAAAGAGGAAAACTACCATCAGTTTCTAAATTTTGACTACAGCTGGTTCTCGACTTACAGCAGTTCGTTTAGTGACCGTTCACAGTTACAACGGCACTGAAAAAAGTAACTTATGACCATTTTTCACACTCATGACCGCTGCAGCATCCCCAGGGTCACGTGACGGTTGCAGTGACCCGGGATCATGTGATCCCCTTTTGCAACCTTCTGCCAAGCAAAGTCAAGCCAGACTCACTTAACAACCAGGTTACTAATTTAACCACTGCATTGATTCACTTAAGCACTGCGGCAAGAAAAGTCGTAAGAACTCGCTTAACCAATTTCTCACTTAGCAACGTACGTTTTGGGGCTCAACTGGTGGTCGTAAGCCGAGGACCACCCATACTCCTGACTTTCCCCAGTCTTTATTCAGCTATTTGTAATCTTCCACTTACTCTTACGCCCACCTGAGAGAATCCATCTATTGTTACGGGGAAGCAAAGCAGCTTCCAGTTGAGTTGGGAGGAAAACGCAGCACAGCTACCACGGGCCCGACGGGTGTCTGTTTTCCATCAAAAGTTCCACGAGGAGAACTAACTTATGACTAGACCCACCCAGACGTTGTTTATACCAGGCCATCAATCAAACTCCCTCGCTCACCACCGGTAAGAAGGATAACTGTCTCTGCAGGCAAGGAACAATGCGGTAATTAGGACACTGAGCAGGAAGGCCAGAGAATGCGGATCCCAGCAGAAACTCAACAGTGCCTCCTACAGGAAAAATGGAATATTGAAGGAGGGAACCCCTGGATTGGTAAATCCGTTGTACATCCAGGAGACGGAAGTCTCCATTTGTCTCACAAGGACACAGAACAACAACGTGCATGCGTAGAGTTAAGAACTAACAGAAGAGAATATTCGTAGCTCAGGTTGAAAGGTGAGGTCTCTAAGCTGGGCTGTTTGCCTTGCAGATGTTTCGTGACCCAGGTAGACATCCTCCTCAGTGGAGAATTAATACATTTTTATAGAGTATTATGTTATTTTGCCTGGCACTTTTAATACTGGTCTTTCCAGGTGACTGGTCTTAGCAGAACTTGGCTGATGTTGTTGATATTATGCATATGTTTTAAACGTGATGAACCCCGTGTGGGTAATCCTAGATAAAAATATGGCCGGAGTGAAATAGCACGACTCAAAAGTAATTAATAATAATCAAGGAAGAAGGCATAATTGTGCCTAAACTATCTCATTAAAAAGAAAAAAAAACCCTCTTTAATTTCCAAAGGAGAGAACGATTCAGTCTGTGCAAGACTAGCCCAGTGGCACATTAAGGATCATGGATTTAATCCGTGGCTAAGAAGACACAGCGTACTAAACTAGCATCAGATAAACCACCTTGCAGCTTCTGAGTTTTGGCTTACTAAGTGTATTGTGATTAAGCCACCACGGCACACCATATTTTATGTAAACCCAGATAATGAAAGCTTAAAGGACAGTACAGACAGTCCCCATTTAGTGACTGACTCACAGAACGACTGTTCAGTTATAATGACAATGGAAAAAGTCACTCTGCAACCAATTCTCGCGTCATGACTTTTGTTCGTCGGTAAAGCAAAGCTGAAGCAAGGTCATAAGCACAACTGCATTTTCACTTAGCAACTGCTTTGCTTAGTGGCCAAGTTGCCAGGCCCTGTTGTGGTCGCTAAACAAGGACCCTGTAAATCTGCTTGTTGAGTAACAGAGCAGCTGTAATTACCATTTCTCTTTCCTTTTAAGTTTCTTACTTTTAAAAGAACTCATGCCACAGAACTGAAGGCATCATTGTAAAATGTTTCAATAAACATTGTTTAAAAGCAAAACGGAGTCCTGAGAGCATCTAAAGACAAACCACGATGGTCAAACAATCCATTCTCCCCCCCCCCCCCGCGGACCAATCAAGAGAGCCTTACTTTGCATTCTACCACACTCTGATCCGATTCACAAGTGACGTAGATTTCGTCCACCGCACGCCTTAGGTTGTCAAAAAGGAATGCCCAGTATCTTGCTCGGAGGTCCACTTTCCGTGGCTGCCGTGTCTTGGTGGGGCTTTTATAGAAGCTCTTCTCCCCCGAGGCTGGTGTGATTTTGCAATCTGAGGCTGTACCCTGAAAAGGAGATTCAAAAAGCACATGTGTGCGCTAAACAAACTTTCTCCTGCTTTTTTAAAAAAACAAATAAATCTCAATTGTTCAGGTTCGCCCCGGAGACTAAGCTACTAAGCGTGATTTGCGAAGGTTCACGGATCACCTATATTAGTGATTCTCAAACGTGGCAACTGAGGATTTCACCTCCCAGAATGGGGCACGTGCTTGGAGTATACTGGTGTTTTTCAAAGCTGGCCACTTCAAGAAGTATGGCCTTCAACTCCCAGAATTCCCCATGCATGAGAAGTGAAGTCCACATGATTTAAAGGGGCCACGTTTGAGAAACACTGATTTCAATCAAACAAAGCACAGATCCTGAAGTTTCGTGCAAAACTATCGGCTTGAGAGCTTTGTTATCACTGCAAGCAGAGGCTTAACCCTAATCCAACCAAACATATCCGATCATGGTTTAGCATGATGTATAAACCCAGCTTCCTTGGCTTAGTTCAGGGGTGTTCAACCTTGGCAACTTTAAGATTCGTGGACTTCAACTCCCAGAATTCCCCAGCCAGCTGTGTTGAAGTTCACAAGTCTTAAGAGTTGCCAAGGCTGGACACTCCCGAATTAAACAATAGGCCATAATCAAACCATCACAGCGCGCGATCCCAACCTGTTTAAGCACACCAGGACTTATGTAGCTTAAGTGCAGAGACATTTGGCTTTCAAATTGATTATTTAAGATTATTTAAGAACTCATTTAAGGTTATTCAAGATCTGGCTACTTGCTTGCTCTTAACATATGGAAATCTCCTGTCAGCTGGCCAGGCCTGCTTATTACAAGACCGTCTGTCCATTAGGGGGATATGGCAATCATTTTACTGTGGGGGACTTTCGTTTTGTATTTAATACAGTCCAATTATTGACGCTGAACAGTTGGGCGTTTGTGTTACGGTGGCCTTTTTTCACTCCCGGGGTAATTCAAAATGCTAGTATCACTGGCTCTCTCTTCCCCAGAGAGTGTAAAAGGACCCTCTGCACATGTGGATGCTCTTTTGAAGGATTTTTTTTTCCTTTCTTTTTGGCTGATCATTTAAAATCTATCCCCTCGTTAGCTGCACGGGCGATGTAATGCTTTAGTGCAGGGGTAGTCAACCTTGGCTCTTTTATGACTCATGGACTTCAACTCCCAGAATTCCTGAGCCAGCTAAGCTGGCTCAGGAATTCTGGGAGTTGAAGTCCACGAGTCATAAAAGTGCCAAGGTTGACTACCCCTGCTTTAGTGGTTTGATTTTTTAAAAAAATGCAAAATGTGACAAAGTGGATTTATTTAACCGTTTGCAGCTTTCCAGAAATGAGCGTTGTTTCAGATGCTTGGACCTTAAACAAAATAAAACAGCACAAACCTGTTTGCTAATTTTGTGCGTTCCTTGGTTTATCCTCTTTGATTTTGCCCCCACCTGCCACTTCGGTTTTCCTGTAAAAAGATGAACTTTTCTTAATAGAAAGAATTTTATTTTTTTTAAAGGACTCAGAGTGGAGATTCGTGCCCCTATCTCTGCCAGGCTGTTTCCAGGGTTCACAGGAGTTGTGCTGTCCTTTCTTTTAACTGTGGTTTGTTGAACAGGCCACAAAGGCTTGACGTACAGCACACAGAAGCCATTAATCACGGCTTAGAACTCAGGGTCACCCTGCACCAAACCAAAACAATAACAGCAAAAGTTAGCTGAGATAATTTAGCACAGTGTTTTTCAAACTTGGCAGCTTTAAGGCGGGTGGAGTTCAACAGTGGTTGACAAGGGAATTCTGGGAGTTGAAGTCCACCCGTCTTAAATCTGCCAAGTTTGAGAAACGCTGATTTGGCCCAATGTCAAGCACATACCATCCTCCTCCTTGCTCTCCAGCGGCACGCTCCAAGCAATCAAGTTCCTTGCAGTGCGGCCCTCTTCGGCTACAATTTTCCTGACTTTGTCATGACTGTTAGAGCGTTGGAAAGAAGCCTGCAGAAGGGAACAAAAGTTTCAGAGAATTGCACCCGACTTCGTCAATTCCGAGAGCTGAAGTCCACAGGTCTTGAAGTGGACATAGCTGCTCACCCCTGAATTAAAGGGCTGGGTCACTTCTGCCTCAGAGGCTTGAAGGAGGCAGGAGCGGAAACCTGAGACTGACCACTGAAAATGACACCCCGACTTTGCGCTCAAACAGAGCTACAAGCAGCTCCTGGGATCACCAGAGCAGAGAACTTACATCTCCTCTCGGTGTGACCGGATGTAGCACACGGCAAACTCGGAAAGAGTTTCACTCTTGCCCAAAAGAGAATGGATGGAGCACCCAACCATTTTTACTTTTTCAACCACTTGCCGTCAGGCTTTCCTTACAAGATACAGAATAACAGAGTTGGAAGGGACCTTGGAGGTCTTCTAGTCCAACCCCGTGCTCAGGCAGGAAACACTATACCAGAGATAGGCAACCTTGGCTCTTTTATGACTTGTGGACTTCAACTCCCAGAATTCCTGAGACAGCATGGCTGGCTCAGGAATTCTGGCAGTTGAAGTCCACGAGTCATAAAAGGACCAAGGTTGCCTACCCCTGCCCTAGACCATTTCAGACAAAGGGCTGTCCAATCTCTTCTTAAAAACTTCCAGTGTTGGAGCACCCACAACTTCTAGAGGTAAGTTGTTCCACTGGTTAATTGTTCTAGCTGTCAGGAAGTTTCTCCTTAGTTCTAGGTTGCTTCTCTCCTTGATTAGTTTCCATCCGTTGCTTCTTGTCCTGCCTTCAGGCGCTTTGGAGAATAGCTTGACTCCCTCTTCTTTGTGGCTACCCCACCAGCTCCTTGTTGATTGGTGAACCTCAAGTGCAAGGGCTTCAGGGCTAAAAGCCTCGGTTTCCCCATCGTTAGGGTGAAACGACCCAGATCTGCAAACGGCTGTCCTTCTTAAAAGAAGTTTTCAGAAAAAAAAAGCCTGGCAAATGTAAACAGTGTGAGGTCCTGTGGTTTGTAAAACTCTGGCAAAGTGGCGTGCCAGATTCTGAAAGATGCATTAAAACCCTTGCAGCAGCAGACTACAGTCTTTGTGGAGGCAAATCCAGAACAGATCATCTCTTTTCGTAGATGACAATTTTCAGATACCTATGGGTGCGTGTCTGTGTGTGCATATGTGTTTGTAATGTCCTCAAGGGGAAAAAGTAAAACTTAAAAGCCCAGTTGTCAGAGGCAATAATTCATATTGCTCTTCATGGTTACGGGGAAAAAACCAACATTATTTAAAGAGGTGACCATAAAGGCATTTCCATCAAATTTCCAAATCTGCTATTCTGCATTTCCACGCTTATTTGGCATCAGCGAAATGGTCTAGGCCAGGGGTCTTCAAACTTGGCCCTTTCATGACTTGTGGACTTCAACTCCCAGAATTCCTTAGCCGGGCACGCTGGCTGAGGAATTCTGGGAGTTGAAGTCCACAAGTCATAAAAGGGTCAAGTTTGAAGATCCCTGGTCTAGGCTCATCTCTAAGTTAATTCAGGGTATAACGTTGCATGGAGAGACATCTTCAATAAAAAAAGTGCAAAGAAAAATATTTTTACTGTTATTTCATACCTGCCTCCATCTGTAGAAAACTGGACCCCTTTCAATGAATTTGGGGAAACCAAGAGTGGAGTAGTTTAAAAAAAAAGAGGCTCAAACTGCAGCCACAACCATAAATCGGAACCTTTTTGCAACCTGCATTGATTGATGAAGACCACGGGTCTTCAAACTTGGCCCTTTCATGATTTGTGGACTTCAACTCCCAGAATTCCTTAGCCAGCGTGCCTGGCTGAGGAATCCTGGGAGTTGAAGTCCACAAGTCATAAAAGGGCCAAGTTTGAAGACCCCTAATCAAGACACATTATTTTCAACTTTTTACTACCTCTCTTGAAAATGTCACTATTTCAGTATCATAACTGCATTGGACCAAATTCTTCAAATTCCTTATTACATGTAATCCTGGGATTATGACGACAGGCACCAACAGTTCCACTGATAAGCAAGGCGGCTGTTAAGTGGGCTGTGCCCGACTTTTACGACCATTTTTGCCACAGTTGTTAACTGAAACGCTGCGCTTGTTAAGTGGATCATGCCGTCCTTAAGCGAACCTGGCTACATCCATTGACTTTGCTTGTTGGAAGCCGGCTCGGAAAGTCACAAATGGTGATGCACAACCTTGGGACATTGCAACGGTCATAAACTCAGCCAGTTGCCAAACACTCGAAGTTTGATCGCCTAACTGTGGGACTGCTACTATGGTCGTAACTGCGAGGATTTTCAGTTGTTAGCCTGGAACGGTTGCTAAACAAATGGTTGTAACTCAAGGACTCTCTGTATATGGTCACAGTGGGGAGTAAAGCCTTTACATGTCATCCAACTACCAAAACATTAAGAGGCTGTCGTGAAGGAAGGACTTACCATCAAATTGTATTTGTCCTCTGCATCAACAGATTCACTGATCACATTTTTGGCTGAACCCATGAAGTCGTCATAGCTGTGTTAACACACAAAAAAACAGGCATTTTTAACGCAGAAGCGATGAAACAGGCATGCAGTATTTCTTTCCAGGACACGGAGCGTCACAGAACATTTACAGCAAAGACACAGAACCTCTCTGAAGCCTTGGCAGCAACCCATAAATTTGCCACTCTTTATTTTTGGTAGCTGCATTTGAATTACACCAAATTAATTCAAATGTAAATGACCCAAAAACGAGGCTCTTGCTTGTGACCTTCCTATGGTTTGGATTGTTCAAAAATTCCAATGCAGCCCTCGGCTAGCAAAGGGTTCTGAACCTTTGGGGTCCACCATGCAGTGAATTCAATTATTCTGCTTTACTGGGGAGCAGATAATTCCTTCAGACACCACCAGACTGACACAACATTACTTTTAAGCTAGCATTATTGGGGACCTGAAGCCGATGTTGTTGAGACAAGCACATCTGAATGGTTATTTCATTCCTTAAAGACTTGGAGAACTATCTTGCAGAAAACCCAAAGTAATTTCACAGGAACTTCTGGAAAACATTTAGAGGCGAGCAGCCGGTCGCTGTATCGCTTTCATTTTTACAAAAATAACACGTTCCTTTTTTCCTCTTGCGTATGTAGTGGCCATTAACCTCTTTAAAATAATTCCCACTGTATCCGAATAAAAAGCAGCCACAAAAAAAAGAAAAGAAAAAAACACCACCTGGTCACTTTAATGACAAAACTTCACTGCATGAATCCCGCGAATAAACAATCAAATGAACATTAATGCAAATCAAAGTAGGCCATCTATACAGTCAGGACATCCAAATCATGGGTGAGTTCTACAAACAATAAAGCAAAAATTGTGCCACATTTAGAAGATGGTCAGATAGAAGCAACTGCAATATCTATCTATCTATCTATCTATCTACCTATCTATCCATCCATCCATCCATCCATCCATCCATCCATCCATCCATCCATCCATCCATCCATCTATCTATCTGAATGGCCTGGAGAAGGATCCTGAAGGGGGTTGATAATTAGGCATCTTTATAAAAGGAGCAAAATAATAGGACGTGGTCCATCAATTCAATGGCCTCTTCTCTGCATGAGTTTTAAATGCCAAAGGAACTGTCTACTTAAGTCTACTTTAAGCTCTTCCAAAGTTGGAGATAGCTAGCCAGCCTTAGACCAGGAAGCTGGCTACTCAAGCGTCCATCTCTAGGATGGACAGTCTGATCTAGTGGCTGTCCAAAACCCAGTAGTACTAACAATATCTACTCATAACCCTTCACCAGAAGTACACTGTGCAGAAACTTAACAACTGCAGTTTCTGCTAGAGTGATCTCCTCTGACACAACATTCTCAACTCAAGGCTAAAGGCACAAACCCAAAGGGGAAAGCTGTCATTCTAACAAGGAGAGGAAAAATACACCTCTCTCTTTGATCCCTTCTGCTTCTTGGCAAAGAACCAGGTGGTGCTTGGGAATAGATTCCACAACAGAGGGGTCTAAAAGCCACATTATGCCAAAGATTGCTTTGTATTTATTTTTCTAGCTAATGGTGGAATAACATAAATTTGCCATTGTTTTCATTCCAGATGAGTTTTAAAAAAAATATTTTCCTTTCTAGCAGAGTAGGATTTTAGAAGAAAACTTTCAATGTGTAGGGAGAGGTGAATATCCTGTCATTTTTACCACCAAGTACATTATTTGACTTCTGTGCAGAAATGACATGGGGAATTTAATTTTTAACTCGTGGAAAAAGCACTTTACTACGATGGTGGCAGGTACACAATATCCTTAACGATATTCTGAGTGGAATCATCCTCTTTTTTATTTGTATTAATCTTGCTTTTATTTTGCCATTTCAATGACTTTAGGCCTCAGTCGGATTTTCCATTCTACAAACGGAATTTACCTTATTCTAGACCCAGCGTTTGTTTATTCCAGAATTTTGTAGTAATGTAATACAGCAAGCCGGTACGTTGTTGAGACTGAATTTTATTTATACTGGTTTACATTGTGAAAAAAAACCCCTCTATTAAAACCCAACAATCTATAGCTGTTCTATATCAGTATGAGAAAATTTTTCAAAACTCTTTTAACTGCAACAAAAACGAGACTTTGCAATAACAAATCTGAGTGGCTGATTTGTTTGGGGTTACCACTGTTTCCTTTCTACCTTCCAAAATGTAAGTTTGCTTAACTTTGCTCTTTGTTGATGCCAAAACAAAACCAAATGCTGCCTTCGCCCAATTCACGTTTGTGTTTATTTACTTGCAAATATGTTTCTACTGCTGTGGCAACCAAGTTGTAATGCTACCCTCTTGTTTCCCTTTAGCTCAGAAGCTCTCTCTGCTGGAAATATGTCTTTTCCACCTCGCCTCCAATCAGATGACAAGATGACATGCAATGTCAGAGAAGATTATTTTAAATTCAAGGGCCACGAGATTTCAAGCCTTTTAAAACCAGATAGACTAAGAGCCAAAAACATGAACGTTGGACAAGCAATCGCCAATTTTGAGGGCGTATCAAGAAGTTGTGTAGACTAGGCTAAAAAGAAGAATTGAATGGAAGCGGCTTAGCCTAAGCATCAAGACGACTGCAAAGTGGGCATCAAGCATATCATTTGAGCAAGGGCCTTCCAGATCCCTCACCACTAGAAAAACACATTTAGGCCTTAGGAAAGTATACAGCACAACCCAGTTTACAGTCTGTGGAGTCTCTGGAGCTCTCTGAGGACCAAGGAGTCTGCAATTCAACCCTGAGCTTCAAATTTTCTCTTTTATCGGGGTTTACCCTCTGCACTGGAGGAGGAGGACCTTTGCATAAAAAAATGCAGGCCGCAAAGGAGGCCCAAATAGCTTGCAAGAGCGGGAAGAACAAGGACTGAACCATGGCCAACGTCTTCAGGGTGCAGAGTGCTTCATCCCTTGCTTTCTTCTGATAATTTCTCCTTCAGTCAAAGAGGACTAAATCCCGGATGAGGGAAATACCCCTGTACAGGTAGTCCTCAATTTACAACCGTTTCTCTAGTGACCGTTCCAAGTTACAACGGCACTGAAAAAAGTGACTTAGGGCCGTTTTTCACACTTACGACCGTTGCAGCATCCTCAGGATCACGTGATCAAAATTCAGACGCTTTGGCAACTGACTCATACTTATGACCGTTGCTGGATTCTGAGGTTACGTGATCCCCTTTTGCGGCCTTTCAACAAACAAAGTTAAGGGGGGGAAGCTGGATTCACTTCTCAACTGTGTTACTAAGTTTAACAACTGCGCTGATTCGCTTAACGGCCATGGCAAGAAAGGTCGTAAAATGGGGCAAAAACTCACCTCATGACTGTCTCGCTTAGCAACAGAAATTTGGGGCTCCACTGTGGTCGTAAGTCAAGGACTACCTGTGCAGTGATTCACTTAACGACTGTGGCAAGACAGGTCGTAAAATGGGGCAAAACTCATTGAGCAACTTAGGAGTGGAAATTTTGTGCTCTGTTGAGGTCATCGATCAAAGAGTACTTGTAGGGCAGGCTTCCCAGTCAATCAAGGTTTCAAAACGCTTCTGGTTCCCTAGAGCAGATTTTAAAGAGAAATGGCCACACAGGATGACCTTCTAGGAATGCCCCCCCCCCCGAATGTCCTCCCAACTACCAGGTGAGGCACAGCCATAGAGAGAGACAGCCATGCAGGGACATTATGTGGGAGAGCTGTGGAAGACGGCAGAAGGCTGGGGAAAGCGACCTGCAGCTGTGGCCCAAAACATGCAAGGAGTCGGGGAGAAGCCGGAAAGTGGGGTGGGGGGGCGGCAGAGCAAGGCTGGCTAAAGGGGGAGAGCGCCGTGCAGCGGGATGGCCGATCCTGCCCCAGTGATGCCACCACAAGAAGCGGACAGACTTTCGGAGTGCGGCTACACCAATATTCGTTTGGTTTTTTTAGGAGAAAGAGAAGTGCTCTTCGTACCATGACGGGTAAAGTTATGTCCGTTATTGGGACTTTTTAGTCCTGATAAACTGTGCAGCCACTTTGGGGGGAAAAGAAAAGAAAACATTACACAGGGTGAAAACTTTCAGCAGTTAAGACACACCTCCCTCGGGGAAGAATTGATTCCTTGAGCAAAGAGGCGTTTTGGCCATCGGGACTCATCAACCGGACCTCAAGCCGTTGACTTTCCAGGCTTACCACACTTGACCAACGCTTAAAAGATCGCCGTTTCTGAAGGTTTATAGTATTCCCTGGTCAGCTGGATCCTGCTCCCAATATCCCCACAATTTTTAATTGCTCAAAACCTGCCTTCGATTCCGCTTTAGGAGGAAACGTCATTGTGAAAGTCCCAAAGGTGCTTTTTTAGGAGGCAACTGGACTTTCTTGTTCTTCTTTGAAGATGTTTCGCTTCTCCTCCGAGAAGCTTCTTCAGCTCGGACAGCTCCATTCCCCACCATCCAGTCAGAGCTGAAGAAGCTTCTCGGAGGAGAAGCGAAACCTCTTCAAAGAAGAACAAGGAAGTCCAGTTGTCTCCTGAAAAAGCACCTTTGGGACAACCAGGACCTGGAGGACGGAGAATCTCCACAGTCATTGTGAAAGGTAGCATAGGAAAATACAGGCAGACCCCCTCCCTCCCACCCTGCAGACTCGGGCCCCTTTATGGAAAGGGACGAATAGGAAAGGAGTCGATCCAAGCGACCAGGGCGCTTTGCACATCCTCCTCGACCCCCGAGGGACCCCGTTTGGGCCTGTCAGTCCCTCAGTGGGGGCATCCTGGCACCCATTTGGGCCCCTTCACACGTGCAGACGGACACGCGTGTACAGGGTCGTGCGAACGGAGCCATGGGGGGGCAGGCCGGGGCTGCGAGCGAGAGGAGGGGGGGGAGAGGGAGCCTGAGGCGGGCGGAGGAGGAGGAGGCCCGGCTTGGTTGCCCTGGAGAGGCGGGTGGAAGGGCAGCCGCCATCTTGCCGGCCGGGCCCGCCGCCGCCGCCCGACTTACACTCGCCGCCGCGCAGCGCCGTTCCGCCTGCGTGCGTCCCGTCGCTGTGACGTCATCTCGCGCCGCCGGTAGCCGGTACCGCGACGAAAAAAAATACCTCTCGGAGGAGGCGGTGGCCCGGCTGGGAAAAAGCTTGCGCGACTGAGCATGCGCGGTTAGCTTCCGCGCGTGCTCGGGAGCGCCTACCGAAGCCGACGGCCCTGAGGGCTGCCCTCCCTGGCGCCGAGCCGCGCCTGCGCTGCCTCTCCCGAGGATGCTCAGTCGCGGATGCTGAAGCCGCCGCCTGCCCTTAGTTGTGCCCTTCTCGGGGGATTGAGAAGCCAGAAAGGCTGGAGAGGGTCATGTGGGAGTGGACTTTATTCCCCATCAGCCCCATTCAGCATAGTCAATAGCTGGGGATTATGGGAGTGGTAGTCCAAAATTTCCACAGACCCCCTTCCCCCCCACAAGTCATCCCTGCTTGATGAGTTTGATAGGAAATTAAAATTCAGCCCAATGGACGCAGGTGCTTTGAGATGGGTGGACTCCAACTCCCAGAATTCCCCAGCCAGCACATACTGACTGAGGAATCCTGGGAGTTGACCTGCACATTTTAAGTGGCCAAGGTTGGAAAAAAACAGGCTGAAATCAAATTCAGTATAATTGGGCTGGACCTGCACCCGGAATCTGCTCCTTGCAAAAAGGGGCGATTGCAAGAACGGAGGACCAGACCCCCCCCCCTTCAGTGCAGGGGATGCAGGAGTCTCCCAGGACCACCAGGAGGGACCCCAAGAAAACCCACCCACCCACCCACTGGGATGCAGGGCACTCAAGGCGATGGGGTGGGGGACGCTGCCAAGGCTCCTGCACCCTCTACTTGGGGCGGGGGGCGGGATTCTACTTGCAGTCGCTCCTTTTTGCAACTGCAATTCCCCCCGGACTCTGGAACCCACTCACCCACCGGGATGCAAAGCACCCACGGCGCTGGAGGTGGGTCGGGGGCGCTTCCAAGGCTCCAGCACCCCCCCTCACTACAGGGCGGGGGCATCCCCTGCCCGAGCCCCCCCCCCCCAGGACCTCCCTCTGCAGAGCCCCCGCGCGGCCGGGCGTTGCAACGGGCGAAGCGGGGCATCTCGCGCGGAGCCGCCTAAGCCGCCGCTGCGACCGTTCGGGGAGGAGACTGGGCGAACGGCCGGCCCGGCTCTGCGCCCGCCTCCCTCCCTCCTTCCCGGCCTGCCCGGCTGCAGCCATGGAGTCCCCGCCGCTGCTCGGGCTGCTTGGGCTGCTGCTGCTGCTGGGCGGCCCCGGGACCGGCCTGGGCGAGCACCGGCCCGACTACGACCGGGAGGCGCTGCTGGGCGGCCAGGTGCGGTGGGGGGGGAGCAGGGACACCCGGGCCCATCCTCCACCGCCGGGGAGGGGGGGGCCGCCTCGGCATGCCCAGCTAGGAGGGGGAAGAGAAGGGGGGCGCAAGGAGCCGGGGGAGGGGGGTGGCAGAAAGGGAAGACCCCGGGAGGGAGTGGGAGAGGGGTTCTTCCTCCCCCCCCATGTGAAACCCCCCTTAAGCCAGCTCAATCTGCATTTGGGCTGGGGGGGGCTGCCAAAAGCCACTGCATATTAGGGCTAGGGGGACCCCTAAGTTCAACTGGGCTTCTTGTGGTCTTTTTGCAGGAGGGGGAGGTACCCAATAGTGGCGGGGAGGGGTCACAGTCCAGCTTTCCTGCTAAAAAAGTGAGTGGACAGAGAGCTGGAGAGGAAGAGAGAAAAAGAGAGACAGAGACAGAATGAGAGAAGAAGGGAGGGAGAAACAAAGAGAGACAGGAAGAGAGAAAGAAGAGAAAAAGAGGGAGAGAGAATGAGAAAGAAAGAAAAAGGGAGGGAGAAACAGACAGGAAGAGAGAAAGAGAAAAAAAAGGGAGAGAGAGGAAGAGAAAAAGAAAAAACGGGGAGATGGAAAGAGAGGAAGAGAGAGAAACAAAAAGGGAGAGACAGAAGGAAAGAGAGGGAGAGAAAGAAAAAAGAGAGGAGGAGAGAGAAAGAAAAAGAGGGAGAGAAAGTTCTCCCCAAGTTAGGACTCATTTTAGTGCTGTTTCCCCCCCCCCCCCAAAAAAGGATGAAGTGGAAGAATTTTCCAAACTGAGCCCGGAGGAGCAGCAAAAGCGGCTGAAAGTGATCATAAGTAGGATCGACGTGGATCTGGATGGCTTTCTCACCGAAGGTACCTCTGATAATGACCCTCTTGCTAAGCCCAGTCTCTGGCTGGGCTTCGGGTGTCGTGTGAATGTGGCCCTGGCACAATTCGTCACCCTGATTAGTTCTGGGTGGTTTGCTGGTTTCCAGCATTTACTTCTGGGTTTCTGGCAAAAAACACCCATTGAGTATAATGGATTCATTTAACCACAAAGAAAAGGTCACATGATGACCGGCTTAACAACCGCATAAATCTGGGCTTCATAACAGTAATTCACGAGGACTACCTGTAGTGATATAAATTGTCAATTGTCAAGAGCCAGTTTGGTCCAGTGGTGAAGGCAGCGGGCAAGGAACTGGGAGACGGTGAGTTCTAGTCCTGCCTTAGGCACAAAAGGTGGCTGGGTGACTTTGGGCCAGCCCAACCCACCTGGCAGGGTTGTCGTTGCAAGGAAAATGGGGGGAGGAAAGTGTGTTGGATAGATTCGTCACCTTGAGCTATTTGTAAAAATAATAAGGGTGGGATATAAATAAACAATAACAAAAATAAACAAACATGGCTGGCGGGAAGCACGGAATTCAGGATGCCGGGCAGAGGTGAAAAAAATTGCATTTGGTATCTTTGGAGTGGGAGGAGGGGGGTCCAAGGGTCAGGAAGCAACGTGGTATTGCAAGCCCCGCCCCTTTTCTACGCACCTTGTTGCAGGCCGAGGGGGGCGGGGCTTGGGGCGATTCTGCTCAACTCATCACTGTCAATTCACCAAGGCCGACTCACTACAGCAGGGGTCTTGAAACTTGGCCCTTTGATGACTTGTGGACTTCAACTCCCAGAATTCCTCAGCCAGGCACGCGTGCCTGGCTGAGGAATTCTGGGAGTTGAAGTCCACAAGTCATCAAAGGGCCAAGTTTCAAGACCCCTGCACCCACATTGGGACAACTCACTGCGGGACAATTCAATTCTATTATTTTAAGTAATTCAGAAAATAATTTTAATTTTTTCGTTATTCGCATCCAATTTTGTCCCTCCTTCGGCATCCTTTCTTGAGTGACTCTTGTTTCTTCGATATTAGTGTGATTCTTCTGCCACAGCGAGTTGGCCGTGGCAACTGGGGGCTCCATCTTGCAACGCCTCTTAAAAAGGGGAAAGCTTGCAGACCCCCATCCATTCTTAGGGGGTGTCCTTTGCCAAGGGGTCGAAGGTCACCCAGCAGGGAGGGGTCCGTTCACCGAGCTAATGGGGTCACGGGAAATCTCCGCAGCCGAGCTGAGTTCCTGGATCCAGCATTCCTTCAAGAGCTACATCATCGAAGACGCCAAGCAACAGTTCCAGCACTACGACAAAGATGGCGACGCGCGGGTCTCTTGGGAGGAGTACAATATCCAGATGTACGACCGGGTCATCGACTTTGAGGAGGACACGACGCTGGACGATGCTGAAGAAGAGTCCTTCCGGCAGGTGAGGATCCCAAAGGAGCTTTAAAAACCTGGGATATCGGAATTTTATTCTCCAAGGTCCCTTCCAACACTGTTATTCTGCTGTTCTGCCTGCCTTCCTTCCCTCCCTCCCTCCCTCCCTCCCAGATTGGATAGCCATTCGTCCGAAATGGCATAGGTTCTCAGGCTTGAGCAGGGGGCTGGACTAGAAGACCTCCTAGGTCCCTTCCGACTCTGTTATTCTGCTATCCTTCCTTCCCTCCCTCCCTCCCAGATTGGATAGCCATTCGTCCGAAATGGCACAGGGTTTTTCCTGCCTGAGCAGGGGGTTGGACTAGAAGACCTCCGAGGTCCCTTCCGACTCTGTTATTCTGCTGTTCTGCCTTCCTTCCTTCCTTCCCTCCCTCCCTCCCTCCCTCCCAGATTGGACAGCCATTCGTCCGAAATGGCACAGGGTTTTTCCTGCCTGAGCAGAGAGTTGGACTAGATGACCTCCGAGGTCCCTTCTAACTCTGTTATTCGGTTAATTCTATTGATGAAACGGGATTAGGGTCTGAAACGTCAGTGGCCACCTTTTGAAAGAGATCCACAACACCGGACGGCAGAGGCTAAGACAATATTGCCTCCTTGATCAAGAAATCTCTTCCTGTTTTGCGAGACGCGGAAAAGCTGAGACGCCGGCCCTCTTAGGGACTGCAGCCTTAGTGGGCAGGTTGGGTAAACCTCGGACCCTCCTTGGTTGAAGGTCGAGAAGCACCTTTGGGTCCGAGGCGCTTTGGCGAGGCGAAAAGGGTCACACATTCGCCTGCCGCTTTTGCCTGCCACTCACGTCTTATTCACCTCCATTTCCAAAGCTCCACTTAAAGGACAAGAAGAGATTCCAAAAGGCGAATAAGGACGGCGATTCTTACTTGGATTTTGAGGAATTCGCTGCCTTTGAGCATCCGGAGGAGGCCGACTACATGAAGGCAAGTCTCGGGAGAGAGAACGGCTTCAAAGTAGTCCCCGGTTTTACAAATTTTATGGGTTGACCAATATAATACAAAATACCACCACAACTGAGTCCAGCATTTCAGTGGGTAAGCGAGTTGTGAGCTCTGCCCCGTTTTACGACCTTTCTTGCCACAGCTGTTAAGGGAATCGCTGCGGTTGATAAGTTAGTAACCCGGGTTGTTAAGTGAGTCTGGGATTCCCCATTGACTTTGCTGGTCAGAAGGTCGCAGAAGAGGATCACGTGACCTTGGGACACGGCAACGGTCATAAGTACGAACCAGTAGCCGAGTATCTGAATTGTGATCCTGTGATCATGGGGTCGTAACTGCAAAACAGTCATAAATCACATTTTTCAGTGCTGTCGTAACTGAAGAGCCATGGCTGCGTTGTTAGTGCAGATTTTAAACACTGGGAAAATTAGAGAGAGAGAGAGAGGGAGAGAGAGAGAGAGAGAGGGAGGGAAGGGGAGGGAGGGAGAGAGAGAGAGAGGGGTGGGTGGGCTGTAAGGCGCCTTTGAGCCTTTTTTTAAAGCAAGAAGCCCAGAACTGTAATTGGAATTGAATCCTTTTTTTTTTTTTTTTGAGCAGGGGCCTCCCAACGTGAGAACTTTAAGACTTGTGGACTCCAAATCTCAGAATTCTGGCTGGGGAATTCTGGGAGTTGAAGTCCACAAGTCTTAAAGTTGCCAAGTTTGGAGACCCCTGATCTAGACTAATGGGGTAGTGGGGGATGGCTGTAGGTCAGTGTTTTGAGAAAGAGGCCAATTTGCACAACACATATCCCCCGTTTAACTAAACTCTAGTTTGCAAGGTGCAGTGATCTGTAAGGTCATTGCACAATACGCAACCTGAGACTGGTTAGTTCCTAGCAGGGGTCTCCAAACCTGGCAACTTTAAGATTTTAAGAAAAGGGAGTCAAGCTATTCTCCAAAGCGCCTAATCAAGGAGAGAAGCAACCTGGGATTAAAGAGAAATTTCCTGACTGTGAGAACAATTAACCAGTGGAACAGCTTGCCTCCAGAAGTTGTGGGTGCTCCAACTCTGGAGGTTTTTAAGAAGAGATTGGACAGGTATTTGTCTGAAATGGTCTAGAGCAGGGGTAGGCAACCTTGGCTCTTTTATGACTCGTGGACTTCAACTCCCAGAATTCCTGAGCCAGCCATGCTGAGGGGAAAGGGAGAGGTTTCCAAGCTGAGCCATGCTGGCTCAGGAATTCTGGGAGTTGAAGTCCACGAGTCATAAAAGAGCCAAGGTTGCCTACCCCTGCTCTAGAGTTTCTTGCCTGAGCAGGGGTTGGACTGGAAGACCTCCAAGGTCCCTTCCAGCTCTATTATTATTATTATTACTTGTGGGCTTCAACGTCAACAGGGCTGGCTGGGGAATTCTGGGAGTTGAAGTCCACAAGTCTTAACGTTGCCAAGTTTGGAGACTCCTGCTTTGTTGTTCCCCCGTCTTGCGAGCAGAGCTGATGGGCAGGTCACTCTTAACCTTCGGATGGTTTCTCCTTCCCACCAGGAGTTTGTCATTCAGGAATCTTTGGAAGAACATGACAAAGACGGGGATGGATTTGTCAGCCTTGAAGAGTTCCTTGGCGACTATCGAAGAGATCCAGGTGAGTGGCGGGGCTGTTCCTGTTCAACCTGCCCACGGGGGCTTCCCAGGCAAAACGCACCTTTTAGTGGCATTTGGCTAAAGTAAACAGGGAGTGAAACGAGGATGGGGGGACTTTGTAAAAGGGCCACCTTTCGTTTCAGCCGCCAAAGAAGATCCCGAATGGATTGTGGTTGAAGAAGACCGCTTTAAAAATGATTACGACAAGGATAAGGATGGAAAACTTAGTCCCAAAGAACTGCTGACTTGGGTGATGCCCAATAACGAAGGCCTTGCCCGGGAAGAGGTAAGAGGTTTGAAGAATGTTATAGGGCGTCCCCGACTTACAACAGTCCGTTTAGTGACCGTTCAAAGTTACAGGAACTTAACGACCATTTTTCATAGTTACGACCTTTGTAGCACCCCACTTTACATCTTAAGAAGACAGAACTCTTGGAATATCTCTTCCAACAGGCATCTTTATTAAGAGAAGATGGTTGCAGGCATTCTAGACAGGATCTGAGGGGCCAACCCCTACCATTCAATATTTTAAGTGTTCCCAAGCAGCCCCCACCCCACCGCGATGATCCCAGGCATTACATTTCCACCCCTTTTTTCTCTCGACCGGCAGAAGGGAGACTTCAGAGAGTAGTAGATGAAAGGTTATAGCCATATTGTTATGGTCAGTCCTCTTGGTGAGATCCANTAAGGCGCCTTTGAGCCTTTTTTTAAAGCAAGAAGCCCAGAACTGTAATTGGAATTGAATCCTTTTTTTTTTTTTTTGAGCAGGGGCCTCCCAACGTGAGAACTTTAAGACTTGTGGACTTCAAATCTCAGAATTCTGGCTGGGGAATTCTGGGAGTTGAAGTCCACAAGTCTTAAAGTTGCCAAGTTTGGAGACCCCTGATCTAGACTAATGGGGTAGTGGGGGATGGCTGTAGGTCAGTGTTTTGAGAAAGAGGCCAATTTGCACAACACATATCCCCCGTTTAATTAAACTCTAGTTTGCAAGGTGCAGTGATCTGTAAGGTCATTGCACAATACGCAACCTGAGACTGGTTAGTTCCTAGCAGGGGTCTCCAAACCTGGCAACTTTTAAGATTTTAAGAAAAGGGAGTCAAGCTATTCTCCAAAGCGCCTAATCAAGGAGAGAAGCAACCTGGGATTAAGGAGAAATTTCCTGACTGTGAGAACAATTAACCAGTGGAACAACTTGCCTCCAGAAGTTGTGTGTGCTCCAACTCTGGAGGTTTTTAAGAAGAGATTGGACAGGTATTTGTCTGAAATGGTCTAGGTCAGGGGTAGGCAACCTTGGCTCTTTTATGACTCGTGGACTTCAACTCCCAGAATTCCTGAGCCAGCCATGCTGAGGGGAAAGGGAGAGGTTTCCATGCTGAGCCATGCTGGCTCAGGAATTCTGGGAGTTGAAGTCCACGAGTCATAAAAGAGCCAAGATTGCCTACCCCTGCTCTAGAGTTTCTTGCCTGAGCAGGGGTTGGACTGGAAGACCTCCAAGGTCCCTTCCAGCTCTATTATTATTACTTGTGGACTTCAAAGTCAACAGGGCTGGCTGGGGAATTCTGGGAGTTGAAGTCCACAAGTCTTAACGTTGCCAAGTTTGGAGACTCCTGCTTTGTTGTTCCCCCGTCTTGCGAGCAGAGCTGATGGGCAGGTCACTCTTAACCTTCGGATGGTTTCTCCTTCCCACCAGGAGTTTGTCATTCAGGAATCTTTGGAAGAACATGACAAAGACGGGGATGGATTTGTCAGCCTTGAAGAGTTCCTTGGCGACTACCGAAGAGATCCAGGTGAGTGGCGGGGCCGTTCCTGTTCAACCTGCCCACGGGGGCTTCCCAGGCAAAATGCACCTTTTAGTGGCATTTGGCTAAAGTAAACAGGGAGTGAAACGAGGATGGGGGGACTTTGTAAAAGGGCCACCTTTCGTTTCAGCCGCCAAAGAAGATCCCGAATGGATTGTGGTTGAAGAAGACCGCTTTAAAAATGATTACGACAAGGATAAGGATGGAAAACTTAGTCCCAAAGAGCTGCTGACTTGGGTGATGCCCAATAACGAAGGCCTTGCCCGGGAAGAGGTAAGAGGTTTGAAGAATGTTATAGGGTGTCCCCGACTTACAACAGTCCGTTTAGTGACCGTTCAAAGTTACAGGAACTTAACGACCATTTTTCATAGTTACAACCTTTGTAGCACCCCACTTTACATCTTAAGAAGACAGAACTCTTGGAATATCTCTTCCAACAGGCATCTTTATTAAGAGAAGATGGTTGCAGGAGTTCTAGACAGGATCTGAGGGGCCAACCCCTACCATTCAATATTTTAAGTGTTCCCAAGCAGCCCCCACCCCACCGCGATGATCCCAGGCATTACATTTCCACCCCTTTTTTCTCTCGACCGGCAGAAGGGAGACTTCAGAGAGTAGTAGATGAAAGGTTATAGCCATATTGTTATGGTCAGTCCTCTTGGTGAGATCCACATTCAGTCCCTTTGAAGTTTTAATGAAGGAAGTGAGAGCCATAAAAACCCTTTGCTCATCCCCCTTCCCCTTCGTAGTATGACAGAATCCAGAGAGGGCAGAAATGGGGTTTTCCATAGTCGATAACTAGAAATGAAATATAATTGGATTCTGACAGACTACTTGTATACAAAAAAAAAAAAGGAAGAGAATGGAAAAATAAGGAGAGAAAAGGGGAAGAGAAAACTAAACAAACTTGTTAAGTCGAGGGTCCCCTGTATAATATAAGCTGGCTGGGGAATTCTGGGAGTTGAAGTCCACCTTAGTTGTTGAGCTCTTAGCTGAGACAGTCAGGGCCAGGGTTAGCCGTCTTGCAGCTAAGTTCCAGTTTCAACCCAATTGTTAATTTATTTCCCAGGCTGTCCATCTTCTTGACGAGATGGACTTGGACGGAGACCGAAGACTTTCAGCAAATGAAATTCTGGAAAATCAAGATCTGTTTCTCAACAGCGAAGCCACCGATTATGGCCGACAGCTCCACGACAAAAGTTTCTACCACGAAGAGCTTTAATTTCCGAAAGAGGCTTTGCCTTCGTTTCAAAAGTGGATATTTCTCCCTGTTGTTCAGCTTTAAAAAAAAAAAGAGAGAGAGAGAATGCCAAATGGGCAGCGATTTTACATCGCTCAAGTTCCCCGCACACTGCCAGCATTACTTCGGCAGCCTAATTTTTTAAAAAAGAAGGGAAAAGAACGGAGACCTTTAATGTTCCGATTTCAATACTGCTTTTTGAAACATACTTGAAGATGCCAAGGTTTGACTGCAAGGTACTTCTAGTTTGGGTTAGATTTATTTTATTTTATTTTTTAGGAAAGGGAAAATGCAACCATAACTGTCTGGTTCCGTGTTAATGGTTTTTCTCTCCCATTTTGTATATTACAAAATTCAAGAGGATGAAGTGTTGGGTACGAAGTTTCTGTGCATATTCTCTTGTTCAAATGGTAGATGATCGGGAAATATTTTCACCTTTGGGAAGTATTCTGTTGACTTGGATTAAAATGTTCAGATGCCCCCTTTTTCCTGTTGTGCTGTTTCTTTGCATGAATCTCTTAAAACCACACTATATCTCACTTAGCTTCTTAAAAGGAAGCGCACTTCAAGCCCGGATATATAAGGGGGAAAGAATTTAAAAATACGGCTTTATCAAACCACCAAAATCAAGCAGCAGAATAGGCCATCAATATAGGTAGCCCTGCTTAGCCACTGCCCTGTGCAGCGATCCTTCAAAGTTAAGACGGTGTTAAAAAAACAACACCCAAATACCTTTGCAACAAATCCTCACATTTATTGCCTTCAGAAGTTGTGGGTGCTCCATCACTGAAGGTTTTTAAGAAGACATTGGACAACTGCTTGTCTGGAATGATAGAGGGTCTCCTGCTTGAGTAGGGGGTTGGACTAGAAGACCTTCAAGGTCCCTTCCAGCTCTATTCTGATTGATTGAAATCCTGAAAGTTGGACAGCATCTTCCTTCCTTCCTTCCTTCCTCCCTCCCTCCCTCCCTCCCTCCTTCTTTCCTTCCTTCCTTCCTTCCTCCCTCCTCTTTCCTTCCTTCCTCCCTCTTTCCTTCTTTCTTTCCTTTCTTTCCTCCTTTCCTTCCTCCCTCCCTCCTTCCCTCCCTCCCTCCCTCCTCTCCCTCCCTCCCTTCTTCCTCCCTCCCTCTTTCCTTCCTTCCTCCCTTCCTCCCTCCCTCCTTCCTTCCTTCCCCTGTGCTCCCCTCTCCTGCCCGTCCCCACTCCTCCCCCCCTTCACCTTCCCCTCCCCCCTGTTACTTCTGAGGAGCACATTAAAACTCCCAAAAGCTCTGCCCTTTTTATTTTTTATCTTCTTTTGTACTTTGTACTGGTAAATTGCAAGCAAATTCTTATTAAAAGAACCTTTTTTCATCGGTGGGTGAACAAATCCTTCTACTTCCATTTGCATACAGCTGTAGTGTGGGGAAAAAAACACACCAGCCCTCTTCCTCATTCCAGGGGATGCTGGCAGAAAAGCCCCCCCACCCCTCCACCCTGCCTCTTGGTTCATGGCTGAATAGAGCCATTGATTTTCCTGGAATGTCCCCAGCAGCGGAGTTTCAATGGTCCAGCCAGCCAAACAGCCTTTCCTCTCTCTAAAGACAACCTGCCTTTTTTGTCCCTGGCAGGTGCAATTGAAATGTTCCCTCTTCTACTTCTTTTTTTTTTAAGTTTTACATTTGAAATGGTTTACAGCAGGGGTCCTCAACCTGGGCAACTTTAAGACTTGTGGACTTCAACTCCCAGAATTCCTCAGCCAGCAAAGCTTAAAGTTGCCCAGGTTGAGGACCCCTGCATCGTCCTTGACTTACAACAGCGGTTCATTTAGTTCAAAAAGCGGCTTAACGACAGTTTCTCACACAATTGTCGCAGAATCTCCATGGTCACGTGATCAGATTTCAGACCCTTGGCAACTGACTTGTACTTCGTGACGGTTTGGCGACTTTCCGACCACCAAAGTCGAAGGGAAGCTGGATTCGCTTAACGACCGCCCTGCTGATATAACAACTGCAGTGGTTGACTTAACAACCGTGGCAGGAAAGGGGGTAAAATGGGGCCAAACTCACTTAACATCTGTCTCACTTAACAACAGAAAGTTTGGGCTCAGTTGTGGTTGCAAATTGAGGATCGAATGTCACAAGTATATTTGTTAATCACATTTATACACCGTCCGTCTTACTACATAAGTGACCCTGAGGGGGGGGGATGGGCAGTCCACATCTCCAATGCTATCCCCCCCTCCTCTGGCAATTTTGGGGTCTTTGCCCGTCGATGCCGGCCTTGTCCCGAACCCTGCATTTTTCCAAACCAAAGATCCCTCCATCTCTGCAAAGCCATTCCTTTCTTCTTACTATAGGTCATCCTCTATTTAACAAGCATTCATTTAGTTACAACAGCATTGAAAAAAATGGCTTAGGACCCTTTTTCACAGTTACAAACTTTCCAGCATCCCCACGGTCATGGGATCAAAATTCAGGCCACTTGGCAACCAGTGTGTATTTCCTAATTTCCCCAGAGAGGCCTGTCGTAACTTGAAGCAGTCGTAAGCGGAGGACCACCTCTAAACCTTGTTAAGAAGGCTCTCAGTGCTTCAAAATAATCCCCCTAAGCCTAAAGGGCTATTTTTTGGGTTGAATCTACGACATGAAAATATTGGCGCCCGGGGAACACAGATGGAGACCACAACCCAGGCACTCAATTTCCTGACCCAGTGCGAGCCAGCCTGAGTGGTTATACAGAGAAATGTCTTTACGTTTGCTCGCAGCTAACTCCGTAACCTCCCTCCCTCCTTTACTTCCTGCTGCAGAGGAAATTAAACCATCTTACTTTCACACTTGGCTCTCCTAAGCAAGCCATCTTCCACCCTCTTGGGCCACCCAGCAGAGGAATAAGAAACGATTTGGGGTCAACGGAGGAGCCAAAACTTGGAGGAAAGCAATCCGCTCATATTCTAAAGACCGAGTAGCTATGTTGTCCTTCTTCCTGCCTATTCACCCTTGCAGCAAAGTGATGCAACTTGCACGTGGCACAGATGCAGCTCGAGCAGCACACAACTGAAAGCCGCACACTCAGCCCCACTCAGACGTGAGCTGTGCCTATTTCCTTCTCTCGGTGGAGGGGAGAAAAATTCTTCTGCTCTTGCACCAATTCTGAGCCCGTCACGCCATCCACTCTGCTCCTTTCCCGTGGGCACAAATGCAAAAAGTTTCCAGCACACATCCCTACACACCTGTTGCGCTGCCTCTGTAGTCCACAGGCACATCCAAGCCTGAAGGAATCCCTCCCTGGAGTTCCTCCACCTGCCATTCAAATACCTCCCCTCTGCATTCTGGAGTGTATAATTCAACTTGTCCTTGTTGGAAGGAAGTATCTCCTTTGCACCCAGAGGATGGCGACAACGTTTGTGCTTCCACATTGGTGAAAGGCGCGCTCTTAGCCATCAGCCCGGAGAGGTGGGGCAAGAGGAAGGGAGAGCTCTGAGGTTTGGGGTGTGCTTTTCACTTTCAGTAACAAGTGGCCCGGCTCAGCTTCCTTAAACCACCCGACAAGCTGAGTTCTAAAGAAGGTTTCTCTCCAGAGCGGAGTGCACACACAAATACACAAACCCAGCAGCTGACCTCAGCAGGGAGCCTCTTTCACACAGCTTCGCCCTGCAGATCCAGCCGGTCAGGATGACGCACCTGCAATTTAAAGATGCCTTCTGGGTAAGTGCCAACAGATTGCCTTCTGACTCCCAGAGGAGTAACTTTGCAAAGAGCTGGGCCCAGTTCGTTGTATGGAGATTTTAGGGGATGTTATGGTTTATTTTCAAGGCAAATTGAACAGAGCTGGTTGAGCACCTCTAAACAACCACCCAAAAACTCCAGGCTTAAAGAAAAGAAGATGGCACAAAGCGTTGAGAAATGCTTCCCCCCCCCCCCCGGTCATTGGATGGGTGTTTTTTTTTTTTAAATGCCAGTTATTGCTTTATTTCTCTAAGGGAAAAAGGCTGAGTGAACATCCCTCCCAAAGTGGAGCTGACATTTTTGTTTGTTTGTTTGTTTGTTTTTACAATCGGAATTCTGCCTATTGTCAAATGCTAGGGCAGACCCAGAGGCTCAGCTGCACCACGCGGCTGGTGGTTTATGCAAAATGCAAAGGTATGATGCAAATGTTGCCCCACACCCTGCGCGCTCGGGCCTCACCCCCGAAGGTTGCAAAACATATGGGTGGCTTGCAAGGCTTAAGATAAGATCTCCAGGAGGAGTTTGAGGAAAGAGGTTGTTCTCCTAGGCTTCTTCTCCAGCTGTTGGCGGTGGGCACCATCTAATTTTTGGACCTTGGAGAGATCCTTGAAAATGTATTGATGAGTCTTTGCGCCCGGCCAGTGGATTTTTGAAAAGGGAGTGGATCTACGCTTGGGCGTTGACCATACCTAGCAGCTTCCGCCAAGGCAAGATGCAAAGGAGATGGCGGAGGTGTGGATGCAGCAATGTTGAACTCTTAGTTTTGGATCTTGGGAACTTTCTGGTCCACCTCAATCTGCAAAGACTTCTCTTCACACAGGAGATTCCTTGGTTAACTCTTGTTTGTTGAGAGAGAATGCCTTTGCTCCTCCGTGTCTCCTTGTCTCCACTGGTTGAAGACAAGGCTGTAACCACCGTTGTGAGTTTAGTTTGGGTGGAAGCAAGCTCAGAGATGGTTGTTGGCAGCGTCAGCCCGATGGAAGTGGGTTCTTGGGTGGCCTGCAGCTTTCTCAAAAATGGAGCACTCTAAAGGCAGAAGCAGATATCTGAGTAAGACTTTATGAATTGCTGATGGGCAGTTTTTCAGTTCATATTTTGCTGACTTGACTGTTTGGCTAAAACTAGCTGGCCGGGTTTCAGCAGGATCCTGATCCTTCTTGTCCATATCTTCCACCCATCAGTTAGTCCTAGATAAAAATGGGGCAATGTTTTTTTCTGGTTGCTGGTCGGTGTGAGTTCCACCCGTTTTTGCTCACCTGTCTGTTCCATTTCTGCATCCATCAGCAGTTTTTTAAATCTGCAAAGGGTGTGGTTTTATCCTTATCCCATTGTAGCACATCCATCTTTCGGTGTGCCTTGGGTTCCTAAAATGTGCAATGAGAGCGGGATGATTTGCATGTTTTTATGAGTATTGCAGGAAAGGTTTTCCATTTAAAAAAAATGACAATTTTGTGATACGCCAAAATGGGGTACACAAACAATTACATTAGGCAACGTATACTCAAAAACATGCAGAATTTTGTAAAAGCTGTATACATATACACGGATGCAACTGGACATGCATTCAATCCTACTGTCTTTATGCATGTTTGTTTTTTACCTCACTTCATTATTTTTATAAATAACACAAGGTGGCAAATATATGCAATACGCTTTCCTCCTCTGATACAAGCAAACACATACATGCAAACGAAGATACATATACGTACATACACCAGTTTTAGTGAAAATCAGGCCCCCGTGGACAATTGATTACTGTAGATAAATTACATTAAATGTTTATATCAATTGCCATTTTCTTTCACTTTCTTCCTTGTTTGATGCACGGCCTTTGAACATTTGTATTTTCTCTGAATTTTTTTTGAATTAATAAAAGATACTGTGATTAGTTTACAGGGCCTGCTTTTTGTAGAATCTCTCTCTACATGTACTGTAGGCATATTTCTCAATATGTTTGTGTGTGTGTGTGTGTCTCAATCAAACTGATACAGAAATGAGAGGAAAAATAACTCAGGAAAATGTGATGGTGAGCCAAAATCAGATCAGCCTGTGCATTCATCCCTAGCTAAAACACACACCTTAGGTCTGGTTTGAGTGTTAAAAACATGCATTTGTAGGTGAATATTGCAACATTCTGAGAATTGGGGAAAAAAACAAAACAGAACAAAACACGGAACAAGCACCAGGGCAGTCGAAGTTTGAGTGATGGGCACATCCCAAACTTTTTGCAGAAGACCCGGGAGAAGGCAAACTTCCATATTTTTTTCCTCACATTTCCCCCCCAGGGAGTTGGGGGCCTCCTTTGATCCAAAACCTGTGCCGGGCTCTATTTTAAGGCTGGAGCGTTTCTAGCCTAGAACGGCAGGAAACGGTTCCACCGATGCTTGGCAGTTGCAGTTTGAGGCAGCCCTTGCGGGTTTGCTCGGAAGAGGCTGGGGGTGGGAGGGGGGGTCTGCCTCGGTCTAATAAGGAAGGCCTACGAGAAGGAGATGAAGTGCTGCTGTTGAGGGGCTGGGAAGGGTTCGTGTGAGGCTGTGGGCAGAAGCATCCAATTCGAAGCATCGGTTGGGTCAGGAGGACTTAAGCCCAAAGAAGTGTTGCTGCCTTGGGGGGAAGGGGGGGTGAATCTTGGTGGCTGGTGGGTTAGTCTTCCTGCCTGTCACCTCTCTTTTTCTCCTCCTCCTCCTCCTCCTCCTCCTCCTCCTCCTTCTCTCTCTCTCTCTCTCTCTCTCTCTCTCTCTCTCTCTCTCTCTCTTTCTCTCTTCCTACATACTTGACGGTCTATCTCAATCTTTCTCAACCTTGAGAACTTTTAAGTTCTATGAACTCCCAGAATTCCCCAGCCAGCCATTCTTAGGAGCTGGTTTACACATCTTAAAAGTTCCATCCATCCATCCATCCGTCCGTCCATCCGTCCGTCTGGCTATCCATCCAGCCATCTACCATCTCCTGCCATCCTCAATCCTCCCTCCCTCCATCTCTCCATCCATTATCATCTATCATCTACCTATCAACTACCTATCATCTATCAACCTGCCTATCTCGCTCTCTCACATCTTCTGTTATCCTCTATCCATCCATCCATCCATCCATCCATCCATCCATCCATCCATCCATCCATTCTCTCTCTGTCTCTCTGTCTCTCTGTCTCTGTCTCTCTCTGTCTCTCTCTCTCTCTCTCTCTCTTCCTACCTACTTGACAGTCTAGCTCAATCTTTCTCAACCTTGAGAATTTTAAGTTCTATGAACTCCCAGAATTCCCCAGCCAGCTATTCTTAGGAGCTGAAGTTTACACATCTTAAAGTTCCATCCATCCATCCATCTATCCGTCTGTCTATCTATCCATCCAGCTATCTATCATCTTCTGCCCTCCTCAATCCTCTTTCACCTCCATCCATCCCTCCCTCTTTCCCTCCGTCCGTTTTCATCTATCATCTACCTATCAACTACCTACCATCTATCAACCTGCCTATCTCTCTCTGTCTCTCTCTCATCTTCTGTTATCCTCTATCCTCTTTATCCATCCATCCATTCATCCATCTTCCCTCTATTCTCTCTCTTCTCATTTCTTTTTCTCTACCCCGCTATCTATCAAAGTATCTTTGGAAGCCTAAAGCCACAAGGAAGATGAATCTGAGCTGAGCTTGACTTCTGGGTATCTGCAGCACTATCACTCCACCAATATTAGTAAAGGGATACTCTGGGGGGTATTAAAAATTACCCCAGGGCTCAGAGGGTGTCCATCCTCTTGTGGCAGGAATCCCGGCCTCAGCTGACCACGTGCTTGGTTTCAAATGGAAATGAAGGAGAGGCTGTTAGGAGAGCAGTCTTCAAATCTCTTGATGGCTGGAGATCTCAATATAGCGAAATATATGAAAAAAAATATATGATAAAACATGAAACAGTAATACAAACCTACGTGCGCAGATCCACCAGATTCAAGATGATTCACTTCTCCCCGTTTGGATGCAAAAGGTCTTACAGAGAGTTTCCAGGGGGGTGGCTGGTATAGGCACAGATGGGGGAGGGGGAGGCTGGTAAGAGCCCTGTGATTTTAAGCCTATCAGCAGAGGACCCCAAATTTAGCCACTGACCTCCTGAAGGATGCTGAGAAAAACCTCTTGGCCAGATTTCTTGCCAGATCCCCTAGAGATCACGTTGATCCAGAAGGATCTAGGTGAACAACGTGCTCGACTTAAGACGATGGTAGCTTTGCACTTTCCTGTATTCCCAAAGGTGATGATGACTCTTCCTCTGGAAAAAGGCTGCTGTTAAACCCTTGACTTGATGCTGGTGACTCAACCAGCCAAAAGCAGCCTTGAAGACAGTCGGGCGAAGAAGTCACATTTGCCTGACCCACGTCTGAACGGCAAGTTCTCCAGCCTGGCTGGTGTGCACATTGGCCCCAGTCTCACGCAACCCTCCAGGTGGTGAAGGCTCCAGACTTTCTGCAGGCCAACGTAGGGATGGCAAACGCACCTGTAGGTTTTTTTTGGGGGGAGGGGTTCTTCTTTTTGTGCTTCTTGGCAAAATCAGGCTGATCCTTGAATTTTTTTTCCCCACGGGGACCAGCGTTTCTCTTGGAATGGTAGCTAGAAAATGTTTGGCTGGGGAATTCTGGGAGTTGTAGTCCACCCAAGGTTGAGAAACGCTCCTCTGGAGCCACCATAGACCGAAATAGGTTGTATTAATGGGATCCTCTGGATCTTGGCTCCTGAGCTTGTATCAACTTGGAATTGAATGGATTGCTTGCACGGTCGATATTTTTAGATCAGGAGATGGAAACTTGGTAGTTGGGGAAATTACGCTTGGGTGATCTTGGTTTGGAAGAAAAAAGGAGGACACAGCCAGGGTCTTCTGACACTTGACATGGATCAGAGGGTCTTCAAGGGCTGATTCTGCTCGTCTCGAACATCTCGAACAGCGTCTGGAAATGCAGGAAAGAGAACGGGGTAGAATGGTGAGAACTGATGGATCTTCCAATGTTCCTTTTCCAGTGCAAAGAATTCACCCTCCACTCCGGATACGAAGCACTCCTACAGCGTTTGCTGGATGGAAGGAAAATGTGCAAAGATGTGGAAGACTTGATCAAGCAAAGGTAAATAAAAAAGCATAGGGAGGAGGGAGGGGAACAATGAGAGTTGGGAGTGGCATTAAGGCTTTGAAAGCCTCTTTGTGTTTTGCTCATAAGTCCGTAAACGGATCTTTGAATCAGATTCTCCAGTTGGTTCTCCCTCCCTTGGTGAGATTTTAATTTTTAAGGATCTTCACCCATATGGATACTAATAGCAGCATATTTCCAATCGTCTCGGTATTGCAAGTAGTCCTTGATTTATGACCACAATAGGAAATAGAATTTCCGCTGCTCAGCAAGGCAATTTTTAAGCGAGTCGTGCCTGATTTTTGACCGGTTTTTTTTGCCATCCTTGTTAAGTAAAGCAGTTAATCACGCAGTCAGAAATTGTGTCCCCAATTGTGGTTGTAAGTCAAGGACTGCTAAAGGCCTGGATTTGAAGATGTTCCTCAGACGCCTTTGGAGACGTCTACGTCGAAATGATCGCACATTCGGGGTTTGTGGGAAACAAATGAATCATCTCAGAGCCTAGAACAACCCAGGACTTGCCCCCTCACCAGAGCTATTTTAGAAGCTGTGAGTAAAGATTTCTGAGGCCCAATGGAAAGGCCACCTTCATCTTGGTGTTTAGTGGGCTGAAAATGTTGTGGAAAGAGAGGACGGAGGAGGAGGAAGAGGAGGAGGAGGAGGAGGAGGAGGCATCTCAGAGAGATTTCAAGAGCTTTGGATCCAGTGGCTCCCTTAAATGAGAAGAACAATGCAGAAGACACCCTTTGCAAGCAGAAGATCACTTTGGATCCAGACCAAAGGATCTCCCCTCAGGAGATGAAGGTTGCAAATGAGTAGAGAAAAATATAAGCTGTCTCTTTTCTTCCATCTCACACTCTTCAGTTCTCTGGAGATGATGATGATGATTAGATTTTTAGCCCACTGTTGAGATCACAAACTTTGGAACTTCTTGAGAACTAGTCTAGTTGGACGAAGAAAAAATTCAATCTTTTAGGTGGCACCTATTTTCCTAGAAGAGAAATATCTTAGGTGGCTTCAGCAAATACCGAGACACAACTGTGGAGCTGTAATTTCCCTCACACTTTCCTCTTAGGACAGATGGTGGGAAAGGCATTGAAGACCCTTCCCATTAGCAGCACAAAGTTGTTCCCCTGCCATCTTGTTTGTCTTTGAGACCTTGCCTAGTCATCTCCCAAATCTATTCATTACACACCACTGGAAGGATGGAGTGCAGAAACAGACAGAAGCCCAGCATGATTTGAGTGGCAAATAAAGATGGGATTTTATTTAACAGGGCCCAGGCTGAAGAACGCTACGGAAAGGAGCTAGTCCAGATTGCTCGGAAAGCAGGAGGCCAAACCGAAATCAAGTAAGTCCATTTTGGTGTCATGTAAAAACCAATTATTCCTTTGTTTATATTAAAAGTCAACATTCAGTTATTAATTGATGCCTAGGACTTGTATCTAGGGGTTGATATAGCGTTAAGAACCAGGATGGGCAATAGCTAGCATGATTGACCTAGAGCAGAGGTGGGCAACCTTGGCTCTTTTATGACTCGTGGACTTCAACTCCCAGAATTCCTGAGCCAGCATGGTTCAGCTTGGAAACCTCTCCCTTTCCCCTCAGCATAGCTGGCTCAGGAATTCTGGGAGTTGAAGTCCACGAGTCATAAAAGAGCCAAGGTTGCCTACCCCTGACCTAGATCTTGGTAAGATTCTTTGAATGGCTTTCAGTTACAAGTCATGATGGTCATTGGTCATAATTTGAGGCACTTATGTGACAGGACCTGATTTGATAACTTTTTTTGTGGTGGTTCTTAAATGAATACCATCCTTGTTACATGAATGAGGCAGTTATTAAACGAGTGACATAGTCATTAAGTGAAACAGTGTAATTCCTATGGACATTTTTGGCCCATGCTGGCTGGGGGATTTTGGGAGTTGAAGTCCATCTATCTCAAGGTTGTAAAGCTTGAGAAATAGTCATTTGTCTACTCCTGCTCTGGGCTGAAAGTTGGACCAGAAGTTTTGTGTTCCAAGCCTACGATTCTATGACCCATCTATTATGGACACCATGGTGTCCATCTCCTCTAGGAGACCCCATCCTGGGTGTTCTATGGAAACTATGGTGGCTGTAATAGGAGGAGACCGTAGAACCCTAGGCTTGGAAGGCACCTGGGAGGTCTTATGGCCCAACCTTCTGCCCAGCAGAGACTCTGTTTTTCTGCCTCTCCTCAAACTCCACAGGGTGAGGGCCAGTTGTGTCGGTTCAGTGTCCAGAGTCTCTTGTTTGAGATGGGCAGCTATAGAAATTGAAGGACGCAATAGGTCTCAAGAGGTGAATGCTTCCAAAGTTTGGCTTGCATGGAAAGGACACACAAGCTTCTCTCAACAGAAAGAATCTCGCCACCGCCCCCCCCCCCCCAAAAAGGGGTTAGTAGATGCAATTAGGGCTTTATTGCTTCAGGGTTTCTAATGCAGCCGAGGCGATGTGAATTCTGACTCATAATAACAGGAAAAATAGATCTGCTATTCTACTGTATGCACTTCCTGTGCCAACGTGCTTTATATAGAATCATACTTGCAAAAGGGGGGCGTGGAGGGGGGGCTGATCCGTTTCCTATTCATTGCAAGATTCATCCCTGCAAGGAACGGATTTCAGTTTAGATCCAGTAAATGACGGAGGGAGGTTTAAAACCAACAGTTTCCCCCCCCCCCCAGTTTGCTACCCTGAAAAGTACATTCAGGATGTTCCTTGAAAGCAAGCTTGAGGAGGACAGACAGTCCTCGGCTTATGACACAACTGGGGGATTGTATTTCCAAATCCTCTTGATACTACAAGTAGCCCTGGATTAGCGATCTGGGGCCAGAATTTCCACTGCTAAGCAAAGCAGGTGTTAGATGAGTTGCTCCTGAATTTATGAGCATTTTGGCCACGGTCGTTAAGTGAAACACTGCAGTTTGTTAAGTGAATCCAGCTTCCCCCGTTGACTTTGCTTGTCGGAAGCTGGCTGGGACTGTCACAAATGGGGATCACATGACCCCTGGACACTGCAGCCGTGGTATATAGATGCTGGTTGCCAAGCTCCTGAATTTTGATCATGTAACTATGGGGATGCTATAACAGTTGTTAAGTGTGAGGACCAGTCATAAGTGTGAGAGCCGGTCATAAATTTATTTTTTCAGCACTGTCGGCATCAGGACCAAACTGATTTGGACTGCAAAACTCCAGCTAGCCACCAGATGGCAGAAGCATGAGAGTTTTTTGTTTTCTTTTAGCGCCTTCTAATGGTCATGTAGGGTTTTGCAAGTCAGATGTGATAGAAGCAGACCATCTTCACATTTCTAAGTGCTGGAACTTGGCTTCTTAAGAGTTTTTTTTAATGGTAGGTGTGGAATTTTTACTTTCCATCACACAGTGCACATTCTGTGGTGAACAGGGCTTCTTTTTCTTATATGGAGGTTTTCTTCCTCTTCTTTAAACTGATACTAAGGATTGTTCCGAAGCTTTTTCTTTGCAAATCATTTCCTCTTTCCCGTAAGAGAATCGGGCTGCATTCTGGGTAGTGTTTGGCTTCGCCAGTGCAAGCAGCAAAATATTGCAGGGCTACAATCAGGCACGGTAAGGTTTCTTGAGAGTGAAAAAAGAATCAATAATTCAGTATTACACGAAATAATTGAATTTTGGCAGTTGAAGCCCACATATCTTAAAGTTGCCAAGGTTGAGAAACACTGAGATAGAATAAGGTGGTGATGACTAGCATCAGGGACCTGTGATGGTGGTCCCACAATTTTTCGGTTTTGGTTTTACTGCTTTTTATTTCTTGTGTTTTTATTGTTCTATCTATATCTTATTTTTGGACTGTAGGCTGAGAGTTTGGTTTTAAGATGGGTGGCTATATATAATAATAATAATAACTTTATTACGGTCATAGACCAGCAATAGACATCACTGTTTACAATATATTAAAACAAAAATAAAATAAAATAAAAATAGTACTGACATTAATAGTAAATAATAACATCCCTGTTAAGAAAATACGTGTTCTCAAAATGTTAGGGTCACTCCCTAGTTTACGTGAGTGGATAGCCGATTAGTGTGTGAGTAAATATAATGTTCCAAACATTATTAGAGATATCTCCAAAAAATTGAAAATTGGCACAAGTTGACGGCTGTAGATCTGTAACCAATTTTTTTCTTGTGGACATTGCCGCAACACAGTATTTTGCCACTGCATGCGTGATAGAAGGGTTTGAGTCCTGGAGGAGAAAGCCTACATAAAAATTGTCTGCCCTCCCTGGCAATCTCTCTAATAAGGGGAGAATATATGCCAGTGGTGGCGAACCTATGGCACGGGTGCCAGAGGCGGCACTCAGAGCCCTCTCTGTGGGCACGCACGCCGTCGCCCCAGTCCTAGGCCTTCAGCTGGGTTTTATAAAACCTTTTCGCTTTAGGCCTCCGCTGCCATGTGCAAAAAAAAAAAAGGTTGAATCAATCAGTCAATTTCAACTTCTTGCGGGGGAAAAAAAAGATCTTGCAAAGTTGGAATTGATTGATTGAACTTTTTAGTCCCACCCAGTCTGCTGTTACCACCGCAGCCACGCCCACCCAATGGGCTACACCCACCCAATTGGCCACACCCACCCAGCACCCGACGATGCATAAGTGGGTTTTGGGTTGCAGTTTGGGCACTCGGACTCTAAAAGGTTCGCCATCACTGATATATGCTGTCCTATAAACTCGGTATCACTCACCGTACAATAAAACATGTGAGATGTCTTCGACTTCTCCTTTACCACATATACATACCCGTTCTGCTATTGGTGTTCTCTTATACCTGCCCTGGAGGAGTGCGGAGGGAAGAATGTTAAATCTGGCTGGTTGGCTATATATATATGTTTTCAACGAATGAATGAATGAATGAATGAATGAATGAATGAGGAATCTGCTTCCCAAGGCAGCAGATGAGGCTGTAGTCCTCTTGATTTTTTTTCTTTTTAAAGACAAAGACTCAATTCACAAAACTACCAATACCAATTCCTCTTTCGATTCAGAGCATTAAAGGAGAAGTTATTAATGCTTCCTTGGCAACAAGTAACAAATAGTCCCAAGTTCACTGTAAATGGTGAGTTTAGCACCTCCAATTGTACACAAATTGACGTCCTATCTTTTACATAAGGTTAACATGCTGCCTGTCATGTTTTTGGCTGCCTTTTGAAAAATGAGAAAAGCTTCACTTCTACTCTGGAAAAGTGGCTTGCAGAATGCAAAAGAGGCCCGCAGAATAAGAGACGGATGGAATTTCTTTTTGACCAAGAGGAACGATTGGCTTCTCCGCAGATGAATTCACCGGGGCAAATATTATGCAAAACTGCTCAGTTTTTGCATTTTTTAGCTATGCGTTTCCTCTTTGAGGGAAGGGATTGCGTAAATCTTGAAGCAATATAAGGCTTGGGCAATATTTTAATGGGATCTGTCCCTTTCTTGCACCACAAAGCCCATCATAGTCTGTTCCCAATTAGGGTGACGCCAAGAGGATGAAATTGGTTGTGATGTCAATCATGCAACCTCAGAGTTTTTGTGTTTGTGACTCCCTGTTGTGTGAAAAGGCACAAGGGACAGAACTGGCATTGCAGTGTTGAGATGCATTTTGCTTTTGGTGTCCCCTGCAAGGGCCTAGGTGTTTCTCAAAGTTTATGCTGTTCTGTGATGGAAATAATGATTTGATTTGATTAAAAAAAAAGTTCTTTAGTGACAAAATTGTTACTCAATTGTTACAAAGAAAAGGGGGTTAACCTATTCTCCAAAGGACCTGAAGGCAGAGCAAGAAGCAATGAAGGGAAAATAATCAAGGGGAGAACCAACCTGGAACTAAGGAGAAATTTCCTGACAGTTAGAACAATTAATCAGTGGAACAACCTGCCTCCAGAAGTTTTTTAAGAAGAGAATGGACAGCCACTTGTCTGAAATGGTATAGGGCAGGGGTGTCAAACTGCCGGCCCATGGGCCGGACATGTCACGCGGAAGCCGCACCTACCCCATTGCCGGCAATGGCAAAACAGTCCAGATACTTTGTGTGACGTCACATGACGTCACAAGCTTGACATGTCTGGTATAGGGTCTCCTGCTTGAGCAGGGGGTTGGACTAGAAGATCTCCAAGGTCTCTTCCAACTCTGTTATTCTGTTACTCGCGATACAATATCTAAAATCATTTGCTATGAAAGAGAAATAAATTTAAACCTTGAGGCTAGAAAACCCTCAGAGTTTTAGCTGTTAAGAGTTCAGAGCTAAACTCAGGTTACTTCTAACAAAAGGCTATAAGATGACTTGATGATGTAACATAGTACTGGACATACAAAAATGATTAATGCTGTAATTAATGAGAAAAAAATGCTTCTTGCTCTGGACTTATTTTCTCTTTAATGTTAATGTACTGTAGCTAGAGTTAAATGAATCTTAATTCATCAGTCATCTGACACCTGCAGGATGAATCCAGTGGTTACATGCAGAGTTAGTTGGAATGTGAATTTAATAAAAAGTTCAAAAGTTGCCACCAGAGGGCATTAAAGAAACACAAGAAAAGAAACTTACCTTATAATCATTTTCATCGGAAGAAAAAAAATTGAATGGAAATAATGTCAGTTGATATGGATGGAAAAAGCACATATACAGCCCGAGGCTTAGTCAGATCACAGCTTCAACCAGCACTGAATATGATAATAGGAAATAAATTCAATTGATTAATACTGTTGGGCGTGAAAGACCAGGTCCACAGGTGAAGGTCCAATTAAACTGATTTCATTGCTCAAAGTGCATGCTGCAGGAATCTTTTCAACTCAAAGTTAGGACCTGCTTGGAATTTGTTAAGGATCAATGGAATTCAAGGGGGAGCTGGACTTAATTTGCTTGCGGCTACCTAGGGATTCTAAGTTGTTCTCTCTTTTAACTCTGCCCCCAGGTTCTTCTCCACAAATACTTAACCTTTCATTTGGACTAGTAGAAGAAAGATTGAGAGCTTCTTTCAGATGTTTTTATTTTCACACGTCCCCTAAGTAATGGAGAAGTTTGATGTGGCCCAAAGATAGATAGATAGATAGATAGATAGATAGATAGATAGATAGATAGATAGATAGATAGATAGATAGATAGATAGATAGATAGATGACAGACAGACAGATAGATGACAGATAGATGATAGATAGATAAATAGATAGACAGACAGACAGACAGACAGACAGACAGACAGATGATAGATAGATGATAGATAGATAGATAGATAGACAGACAGACAGACAGACAGACAGACAGACAGACAGACAGACAGACCATATGCTTGTGGTGGTGGACATTTGAAGTCTGGCTTTGAATATTTTCTGGAAATGCTTTTCTGGATGGTGGGACTATATGGTCTTCTCCAACCCTGGGTGTCTAGAACTGTTGACACATTCCCATGCTGTTCTTGGAGCTGTGATAGAGAACCTCAAGTTTGACTAAAGTCTTTGGACAGGAAGGAAATTGATGAGTTTTGTTCTTTCTCCTCAGCACTTTAAAGGCTTCGTTCGAAATCCTAAAACTACGTAAGTACATTGGCAAGTTCTATTTGGGATATTTCTGACTCCCTTTGGCAGCAAAAATAATCAAAGAATTTGCAAAGACAAATTCATACCTGTTTTTGCTCACAGCATTTAGAAAAAGAGAACTTTATGCTTCCTACTCGTGCAGATTAAGTTTGAGTAAGGAGTGGTCGTTTTCACCACACATTCAGTTTGAACTGCAGAACTCAAGCTAGCCACTAGATGGTGGAAGAGTGAGAGTTTTCTGTACTCTTTTAGCGCCTCTAGTGGTTGAGTGGGTCTTAATGCTATCAATAGCAAAGGGGACGCCCAGAATGAATAAGAGGAGAGTGGACTTTGTTGAGTTGTATAAAAGGATATAAAACCTCAGTGTTGTGGTAACCAAATTTTGGAGTCCACCCTTAGCTTTCCTGAACCTCTGAAGAAAGTGCAGGCTGTCAATTCCCAGAATCCCCTATACTGGTTGTAAGTAACTACAATGCAACCATTGAACCAAGTTCACGTAATTTAGGGTGTCTCAGGAGAGTCAACAGGATTAAAATGGGGGGGGAGGCTGTCCTTTTTTTCACACATATGATGTGCATAGCGTGCCTACAGAAATGGAGGGGGCTTCCATCAACCTGGATGCTCCTGGGTTTTGATGCTGTTGCCCCCACAGAAACCCCTTTAACCCAGGTAAGCCATGTTCCATATCAGGAGTCAAAATTTCAACAAAAACCAACTTCATCCACAGAAATTGAAAGCGTGGGCAACTCTCATATCCAGCTGGCCCTCATGTTGAAAGATGAACTAAAAGCCTTAGAAGAATTCCGAGAAAGGCAGAAGGAACAACGGAAAAAGGTGAGGCAGAAGCCGCAAAGATCTGGCGGTAGAACAAGCCAACCCGATTTATTTTATTTATTGAACACATTTATGATGGCTGTTTGGTGCGGGCATGAAGGCTTTCAAGATCCATTTATCCTGCCTTATTTCAATAAAGAACATCCCTGGAACCTAAACATCTTCCTTGAGAAGTGCCCCAAAACGGCAGAACCCCCAGCCTTGAAAATCCCCCCCGTGGGAAAAGGCCTTTGATAAACAGCCAGAGAACTGGGTTTCCAGCTCTGCTGAAAGGCAAAAATAACCATTTAGCCCATCTTTCTTGCAGTACGAGAGTACAATGGAACGAATACATAAGAACAAACTGTTAATGTTCAAGAAAACCATGGAGGTAAGGAACTCGCTCTTGGGAGGAGACGACATTTATACAGGAAGTCCTTGACTTACGACCGTTAATTGTGCTGGGCAGAGCTGGCTGGGGAATTCTGGGAGACAAAGTCCACAAGTCATAAAGTTGCCAAAGCTGGGGCTTCCCTGGTCTTACAGGTGGCATAGCAAAGGAACAAAGAACACACCGGGGAGGGGAGGGAATAAGGAAATAGGAGCTTCCGTTTCTGTTGTATGGTGACCAGACCTGAAGCCCTTTTGATACGGTCCTTATATTGGCGGATTTTTTGATCTCTTACCTTTCGATAATCATTGTATGCAGAGTCGAGACTTAATTTCCTATCTCTGTCTGCGTAAGGGCAGGGCTGGTGGGAGGAATGCCCAGAGAACCTCTGAATTATTTTCCAGAGCTGGGTTGTTGTTGTTTCTTTTGACAAAAAAAGGTCTACTAGCCAGCCGTTAGCATGCGGGTGGATTAGCAAGGCAAAAGGCAGGTTCTTCTGACTTGTAAATGACTACAGAGGGAGGATACTTCTTTTAAGGAAACTATATAAATTCAATAAATAATAAATAATAATAATAATTTTCTTTTCTTCACTGGGCACATTTTCCCGCATGCAGTCCAAGAAGGCCTACGAACAGAAATGTAAAGATGCTGATGAGGCAGAGCAGGCTTTTGAGAGGATAAATGCTGTTGGAAACCAGAAACAGACAGAAAAGGTATCTCCAAGTTTTTCTCTTTTCTTTCTTTCTTTCTTTCTTTCTTTCTTTCTTTCTTTCTTTCTTTCTTTCTTTCTTTCTTTCTTTCTTTCTTTTTCTTTCTTTCTCTTTCTTTCTTTCTTTCTTTCTCTTTCCTTTTTCTTTTTTCCTTCCTTCCTTCCTTCCTCCCTTCCCTCCCCCTCCCTCCCTTCCCATACCAATGTTCTTTTTTTCACCTTTCAGAGCCAGACTAAAGCAAAACAGTCCAGAGACTCTGCAAATGAAGCAGGTAACCTTTTAAGCACCTATGAAAAATAGGATCTGCTATAAGACAGACATGCCTTATGCATCTTGTGATGGCATCTTCCAGGCCCCTGTAAAGCCCCAGAAACTAAGTATTTGAATAAACCAAAAATACAACTGCACTTTCTCATTAAAAACAGAGTAAAATAAAGGCTGACTTACAATTCAACATTCTGACTGATTGATTTTTGGAGGAATCTTCTCCAGATAAGCTTTTTTTTATTTTAAATTCAGGATATTTTTTAATCAATGAACGGCAGAATAGGTTCATTTTATCAACGAACTGCCAAATACTAACACCTCTTTGATTGCACTCCTTTGCTTCTTCTCATGCAGAAAAGGTGTATAAACAGAACATTGAGATACTAGACCAGGCAAGGACCACGTGGGAACAAGAACATGTTAGCACTTGCGAGGTAAGAAGCCGTTCAGTTCAGCAGATCTTCAATCAATGAGGAATTGATGAGTTTTCTGATTCAATGTTTTGACCTTGATCATGGTGAGATTCTACTGGAGGTCTCTTTCCTCCCACCCATGGGTGGGCAATCAGGCACACTCAACATGGCTTCTCTCTAACACCCAAGGGGTGACCAGCTTGTTCAACCAAGTATTTCAGGGGCTGCCCCAAAGAAGAGGGAGCCAAGCTATTTTCCAAGGTGCCTGAAGGCAGGACAAGAAGCAACGGATGGAAACTCATCAAGGAGAGAAGCAACCTGGAACTAAGGAGAAACTTCCTGACAATTAGAACAATTAACCAGTGGAACAACCTGCCTCCAGAAGCAGTGAATGCTCCAACACTGGAAGTTTTTAAGAAGAGACTGGACAGCCATTTGTCCGAAATGGTATAGGGTTTCCTGCCTGAGCAGGGGGTTGGACTAGATGACCTCCAAGATCCCTTCCAACTTTATTATTATTATTATTATTATTATTATTATTATTATTATTATTATTATTNACCGTGCAAATTACAAGCTTGGAGGTACCATTAAAAGCTAAAGCGGTACTAAGAGTGCCAAGAACTGAGAAATTCTGGAGATTCTCAGTCATCCAGGCCAGGGTTGTCCCAAAGGTGCTTTTTCAACAAGCAACTGGACTCTTGTTTTTCCTTGAAGATATTTTGCTTCTCATCCAAGAAGCCTCTTCAGTTCTGAATGAAGTGCCATCAGAACCGAAGAAGCTTCTTGGATGAGAAGCGAAACGTCTTCAAGGAAAAACAGAGTCCAGCTGCCTTTTGAAAAAACACCTTCTGGCTTTTAGGGCAATGTGTGATTCCAAGAACTGTGACTGGTGGAACATTTATTGATTTCACTAGGCTTGTATATCGGTTCCATCATCAACCATCATCACTGTAGTTTATAGCTTCAGCCTGTTGCACGAAGCTGGCCAGTTTTGGTCTACAAACTATGGTTTTTGACTTAGCTCAGTGTATTGATCCAGCTTTGTTTTAGTGCTGGGGTAGGCAACCTTGGCTCTTTTATGACTTGTGGACTTCAACTCCCAGAATTCCTGAGCCAGCACGGCTGGCTCAGGAATTCTGGGAGTTGAAGTCCACAAGTCATAAAAGAGCCAAGGTTGCCTACCCCTGTTTTAGTGTGTCACATTTTGTGATAGGATCCATAACTGATCCTTACTTTTTCTCTCTCCTTATTTAACTAGGCTTTCCAGCTTCAGGAATGTGATCGGATCACTATCCTTCGGAATTCTCTCTGGGTTCATTGCAATCAACTCTCCCTGCAGTGCGTGAAAGACGATGAGGTAAGAGAAAGACCAGTACAGAGTCCTCGACTTACCACAGTTCATTTAGTGACCACTCAAAAGTTACAACGGCACTGGAAAAAGTGACTTAGGACCGTTTTTCACACTTACGGCCATTGCAGCATCCCCAGGGTCACGTGACTACAAAATCCAGCCACTTGGCAACTTGGTTCATATTTATGACGGTCGCAGTGCCCTGGGGTCACGTGATCCCCTTTTGCAACCTTCTAGCAAAAGTCAATGAGAGCCAGGTTCACTTAACAACTGTGCTACTAGCTGAAAAACGTTAATGAATCACTTAACAACTAGGGTGAGAAAGGTCGTAAAATGTGGCAAAAGTTACTTAACAGCTGTCTCACTTAGCAACATAAATTTTGCATTCAATTATGGTTACAAGAATACCCGTAGTTGTGTTTGAAATCAAGAGGAATTCTATTTCTTCCACCAAAGAGGTGCTGTGAGCTCCTTGGACTTTACAATTCTAAATGCAGCATTTTTTTTTTAAAGGGTATTTTATGTACTCATTCATATATATGAAGGACCTACAGCTACTAAGATGTGTACAAAAATCTAGAGAGTTATTTGCTTGCTTGTTATCTTGTCCTGAAAAAAAATAAATGATACTGCAAATAAACTAGGAGAACCTGCTTTAAAAAGCAGTAATCAAGAGCTCTCCCTTCAAATAAATTGGCTTTTTTCCTCCCCCCTTTTCAAAGCTTTACGAAGAGGTTCGCGTAAGCCTGGAAAACTGCAACGTAGAGTCGGATATGAACTGCTTCGTTCAGAATAAGATGACGGGAACGGAACCACCAGGTCTCTCTGCACAGAATTGCTGCTTTCTTGATTGTACCTTGAAAAAGAGAATGAAAATCTGGGAAATGATAAACGGGTCTGGGGGAGGCTTTGGCTTGTAGAAGACCCCTCGGGTTCAGCCTCCCATCAGCTTGGGATGACAGTCTTTGGCTGTGAATTCTGGGAGAGCTCCTGGAGGAGGACACCAAGGCTGGTAACCATCTTTTAGATCAGGGGTGTCAAACTCAATTTCACTGAGGGCCGCATCAGCATTGCGGTTGCCCTCGGGGGGGGGCAGCCTACTGGGTGGGCGTGGCTGGAGTGGGTGTGGCCTACTGGGTGGGCATGGCCAGCTCTACATCGTTTGCGTCAAGGGTGCCTGTGGGGGGCTGGGCAGGAGTGGGACAGATCTGAGGGTCTCTGGCAGAAGGCGGGGGGACTGGGGCAAGCGCCAAGGCATGGTCCATTTCTTCATTCCTCACAAAGGGTGGCCCCTCCCCAGCATGCACCCAGGGGGCGGGGGTGATGCGGCAGGGGCTGGTTCCTCGCTGTTTCCGGACGGCCTTGTGGAGCTAAGACTGAATGCGTTTCAGCATAAATGGCCACCACAAAATTGTACATTGGCTCCCTCCGGCCGGCCTGGGCCAGGGCCAAGGCAGCGGGGGCCGTTTCCTCACTGTTTCCAGGATGGCTTCATGGGCCACATGAAACCACTTCGCGGGCCACATCCGGCCCCCGGGCCTTGTGTTTGACATGTCTGTTTTAGATGGTGATTAAATGGGGAGATTTCAAAGAAATGGTTGAGCACAGGCTTAATACAAGGCTTATCGGTTCTTGGCTGGCACGAGATTTCTGGGGATGGAAAGTCAGTGATAGTGTTACCTAGTTGGGTCGTGAAAGGTCTGCAAGAGAATCACCAAGCTCCAAGCAGAGCGTAGTCCTCCTCCTTCCTTCTCCCTCCCTTCTCCTTCGCTCCACGAACCCCACTCCCTCCCAAAACTGATGATGTTACCTAGTTGGGTCATGAAAGGTCTGCAAGAGAATCACCCAGCTCCAAGGAGAGCACCATCCTCCTTCTCCTCCTTCCTTTTCCTCTCCGTTCTCCTTCACTCCACAAACCCCACTCCCTCCCAGCACTGATGATGTTACCTAGTTGGGTCATGAAACGTCTGCAAGAGAATCGCCCAGCTCAGAGAGCAGCATCAAGGACCCCACACTCACATTATCCTATCCTCTTTCTGTTTCTGAAACAGTGGCCATTGGCTACGAGAATTATTACGAGAGAACCGGACCTGTGAAAAACTCCAACAGCCCCACAACCCAGAGTTGCGGAATGATGAAAAGGTAAATATCATTATTATGGGTGCTTTCCATTAATGGGTGGAACTTTGGCACTTTGTTCTACCATCTGAATTTTCCACCAGTTGTGAAAAGCTGCCTTGGAGTGGCTGTTTCCCTTTAATGAGAACCAAGAAAGATTTCCAACGCATAAGCTAACTAGGGCAAGGTAAGGACATCCGTCCATTTCCTGAGATTTCCAACAAATAAGAGCTAAATTAGGGAAGAAGAGTAGGGCAGGGCGAGGACATCCATCTGCTTCTTGTGAGCCTCCGAAGGGGTGTTTGGCCAGCTGCTGTAGAGAACTCCCTGTTTGATCCAGCAGGGCCTGGAGAGATGCCTGAAAATTTATTTTTATTTAGTTATGGCTGCTATTCCTAGGCTGCTGTGGTCTAAAATAGCCCGGAGTGGCAGACAACAGAAATAAAGATTAAACTAGCCAAACAATGACAATGTATGCTTCAATAGCATTAACAAGCAAGGGGTTGAAAAAGAGGGTGGCAAAATCCCAGTTTTCTATGTGTTGTGATGTACATTAAAAAAAAAAGAAAAAAGGCAGGGCTTTGATCTCTGTTTATGGCTGCCAACTTGACTGTTTGTGACTCCCTGGTCTGAAATGTTGTCCTGCAAAGTTTCACTCCTGGTTGGAAACCTCGAGAAAGGAAGCAGCAGTTACTGAAAAGCTCGTGGTATAATATATTTCTTGTTGATCCACAGGTTCTCCAACTTGCTACACAGCAGCACCCGAAACGCTCCAGACAACATTATTTCCACAATCACCCCAACTGGTACGGCGGCTTTTCCAGGGACAAATGCCGTCATTTCTTAAGTCTGAGCATCCTTTTGTTAAATCAGGCTCTGCTATCAAGTTTTCCTAAGGGGTGGAGTGTTGGTGTGGGAACACTCAACAATTCGTTTCCTTGGTTCTCAAGTTGGGCTAATCTTAATATCCATCTCCCCAGCTCCCCCCCAGATCTCCAGAAACTTCATACAAACATCCTAATAACTGACCCATTTTTCAGGAAACGTAGTGTAGAAACGTCCGAAACTTATTAGGATGGAGACTGTAAACCTGATTTTGGGAAAAGGCAGACTGCAATTCACCTGAACCAGGCCTGTAGCCTTCCAAATGTGCTTTTTCTTCTTTATTTAAATGTCCAGTGGTTTTTTTTGCAAAGCGGCAGCTGGTGAAACTTTTAGAAACAGAAATAGTTCATTTGTGTTAGGGAGGTATGATGGCATCACCCTAACAATAACAGACAGATTTTAGAAAAAGGTTATAATATATTCTCTGGACTTGTGCAAGTCCAGCTAGAAAGGGCATAAATTTTGACACTTGGATAAAATATCTGACAACTCTGGAATGTGTAATTCACTTTTTAATTAATTTATTTTTTTGCAGCAGAGAGGACAGACGGCGTCTACGCAGCCATTCACGTGGCCGAGGTGGTCAATGCTGCCCTGGACCAGGACTACAGAGCTCTCTATGACTACACAGCCCAGGTAAGCATCCAGATCTGGTTTAAGGGGTGTCCTCTAAGAAAAGAACATTGTTACTCCAGAGTAACTCTCAGGGATCATTACTCTAGGTTACTCTGAAGACGCCAAGTTACCTTTTACAGGTAGCTCCCAACTTACATTTCATTTAGCAACCGTTCAAAATTATAACGCAGGGGTCTCCAACCTTGGCAACTTTACGACTTGTGGACTTCAACTCCCAGAATTCCTCAGCCACAAGTCGTAAAGTTGCCAAGGTTGAAGTCCACAAGTCGTAAAGTTGCCAAGGTTGGAGACCCCTGTTAGAACGGCACTGGAAAAAGTGACTTAGGATCATTTTTCACACTTATGACCGTTGCAGCATCCCCCATGGTCATGGGATCAAAATTCGGACCCTTGGCAACTGGCATGCATTTATGACGGTTGCTGTGTCCTGGGATCATGTGATCCCCCTTTTGCAACCTTCAGACAAGCCAAGTCAATGGGGAAGCCAGATCCACTTAACAACCGTGTTACTTATTTAACAAGTGCAGCGATCCACTTAACAACTGTGGCAAGAAAGGGTCATAAAATGGGGCAAAACTAACTTAACTGTCTATGCTCAGCAATGGAAATTTTGGGGTCAGTTTTGGTCGTTAAGTGGAGGACTATCTGTATGCTTATTCCATCTTCCCCTTTCCGTCTTACCTGAGGACATTTCCCATTCCCCACCCCCCATTCCTCCTTTTCCAGAACGAGGATGAGCTGGACATGCAAGCAGGCGACGTCGTCACCATCATTGAAGCTGGGGAAGATGGCTGGTGGACCGTAGAACTAGACGGGCAGCAAGGATTCGTGCCTGGCTCCTACCTGGAGAAACTTTGACGGGAGGAATACTTCTGAGTGCTACATTTTTCATTTTTACCAGCTAGAAACCACTTTTTTTAAAAAAATCAAGTTTTAGTCTTTGCAGGTGGCAGACAAAGAGCTAGAATTATGCTCTTTATTTTAATATAGACATCTTCTTCTTCTTGTGCCATATCCGTTATCGGACGTTGGCGATCATGTTGGCGATCCTGTTTTTATCAGCAGCTGCACAAAAAAGTGCAGCTGAGTTTTGTCCAAACCAGTTCCTGAGATTTTGAAGCCACGATGTTCTTCTTCTGCCTGGACCTCGTTTGCCTTCAATCTGGAGGATTAAATGGAGTATGCCGTATTTTTCTGGGTGTCGCATCACATGTCCGAAATATTCTAATTTTCGTTTTTTAATTGTTTTGATGATTTCCCTTGGCTTTCCCAGGTGGCTTATCACCTCATTTCTGATCTTGTCAGCCCAGCTTATACGTAACAGCCGCCTGTAAATCCACATTTCAAATGCTTCTAGTCTCTTCAATTATCAAAGAAATCACGGCATCCAAACTTGCGCCGTTTTCCCCTCACCCTAGAAATGTATGGTGCCAAAGGTTCTGTTTTTTCTTGCTAAATCCAGCTACTCATCTGCTCCAATCAATGTTTTGGCAGAACCTTGACCAGTTTTCTATAAGGCAAATATTGCAAAACTGTCTTTGCCGTTCTCCACCGACACTGGTGGAGATAGAAACACAGTGGACTTTATAATAAATCACTGAAAGTGCATTTCCGAAATGGTCAGATCTCAATTCCAGAAATGAGGCTTTCGCTTCTTTCTCGCGATGGGAGAAACCGCGGCACACTTAGGGCGGCCATGCTTTCAACTAGCAATGCAGTTTTGGACTCGGGTTGCAGCAGAGGGTGGGGAGATGGGTGGCTCTGCCCTAAATGCGACCGTCTCAGATTCTCAGCTGTTCACTGAAAATGCAGCTGCAATTGTTCTAGTAATGCACATGGACGCCAACATTTGAACTTGGAGCAGCTGAGACTCTGACCCCAAACCGCGAGAAGGGAGTTCAAAAAATAACCACAAGATCTCTCCCAGAGAGTCCTTTCCCCGCATTAAATATTGTCAGAACTTTTTATGCTGTTTCAGTCGGAACACACCTGTGGGCAGACATGATGGCAGGCGTTAATATTCAGTATGTTGAGATGTTGAGACTCTAGAAAGAGTGCAGAGAAGGGCAACAAAGATGATTAGAGGACTGGAGGCTAAAACATATAAGGAACAGTTGCTGGAATTGGGTATGTCTAGTTTAACGAAGAGAAGGACGAGGGGGGACAGGATAGCAGTCTTCCTATATCTCAGGGGCTGCCCCAAAGAAGAGGGAGTCAAGCTATTCTCCAAGGCACCTGAAGGCAGGACAAGAAGCAACGGATGGAAACTAGCCAAAGAGAGAAGAAACCTAGAACTAAAGAGGAATTTCCTGACAGTGAGAACAATTAACCAGTGGAACAACCTGCCTCCAGAATCAGTGAATGCTCCAATACTGGAAGTTTTTAAGAAGAGACTGGACAGCCATTTGTCTGAAATGGTATAGGGCAGCGGTTCTCAACCTATGGGTCGCGACCCCATTTGGGGTCGATCGACCATTTCACGGGGGTCGCCAAGCATGGCTGTCTGCCATTTTTTCCCCCTTTTCTGGCGGGTGCCTTACCTCCCTTGAGCTGGGCCAGCTGGTGGTCGGCCTGCTCCGTCTCTGCCGCTTGCCAGCTACGCCTCGGCCGGCGCAGGGGGCGGAACCACGCATGCATGGCGCTCCCGGGCAGGGAAAGTCGTCGACTTACGACCGGTTTAGTCCTCGACTTACAACCGGTTGGGGGTCGCGGCATTAAAAAGGTTGAGAACCACTGGTATAGGGTTTCTTGCCTGAGCAGGGGGTTGGACTAGATGACCTCTAAGGTCCCTTCCAACTTTATTATTATTAACAACCTGCCTTCAGAAGCGGTGAATGCTCCAACTCTGGAGGTTTTAAAGAAGAGACTGGACAGCTGTTTATCTGAAATGGTATAGGGTTTCCTGCAGTTGGACTAGATGACCTCCAAGGTCTCTTCCAATATTATTATTATAGCATTACATCTATTATTTATCCACTGCAATCTATAATTGCAGTGGCCATCTATGACTTCAAATTATCTGATTCCTAACTGCCCACATCAGGGGGGTCCAACGTTGGCAAGTTTAAGACTTTTGACTTCAACTCCCGGAATTCTCCAGCCACCCAAAGTTGCCAAGATTGGACACCCTCGCCTAGAGTTCCAGACGCGCACGTTTTTCAGCAAAACTGTTGTAAACTGCAAACATGTGACCGTGGGATGCTGAAAATAGTTGTAAATGCAGCCAGGGTGCTGACCCCCTGGGCTATGGAGGGGGGCCAACCATCACAACTTTGAATCTGGATTGTAAATCTGCTTTCAGGTCAGTTCTAGCTTTAAATGGTCATTAGGCAACCCGTTGTAAATCAAGGGCTATCTGTAGGAGTATTAAGCAGGGAATTCTCCAGAAAGCACCATAGTAGGGACCACGAAGATCCAATCTCGTTCTTTCACCCCGATTTTCTTCTTCCTTGAGCATGTCTGATTGTCCTCACTTGTAAGCAAGCAAGCTTAATACAGCTAGTCCTCGACTTAAGAGTTCGTTTAGTGGCCGCTCAAAGTTCCAGGGGCACTTATGACCGTTTTTCACACTTACGTTGCGGCATCCTCAGGGTCGGTGTGATCAAAATTCAGATGCTTGGCAACTAACTCCTAGTTATGACGGTCGCAGTGTCCCGGGGTAATGTGATCCCCTTTTGTGACCTTCAGACAAAGCAAAGTCAGTGGGGGAAGCCAGATTTCACTCCACAACCGTGTTACTTGTTTGACAACTGCAGTGGTTCGTTGAACAACTGTGGCAAGGAAGGTTGTAAAATGGAGCAAAACTCACTTAACGAATGTCTCGCTTAGCAACATCAATTTGGTCTCAATTGGGGTTGAATGTTGAGGAGCACCTGCAAGAACATTTCTTCCTTTATAACAGCTCAGGAGTTGCTTAGGTAGGCTAGGGATCCTCAACCTGGGCAACTTTAAGACTTGTGGACTTCAACTCCCAGAATTCCTCAGCCAGCAAAGCTGGCTGAGGAATTCTGGGAGTTGAAGTCCACAAGTCTTAAAGTTGCCCAGGTTGAGGACCCCTGGCTTACTCAATGGGCTCACATCACACCCATCTGTACAATTTGGTTCCTTTGCCAAGAAAAGCTGCTAGCAAGATATGCTTCACAACCAGAAAGCAGGAGCGAGAAAGTGGGGTGGCTTGTCGGTGTGCATGTGTGTGTGTGTGTTTGTAATTGATTTGATGGATGGTGGGAAGAGGGGAGTGCCCAAGAGATCTTTTAGTTTGGGGAATCTGCATTCAGGCAAGGGAGGATTGCGCTGCAGGGGGGCTGCTGGCGGACCCCAAGGCTGGACCTTGTGGGAAAGCGGCAACCTTTCACCTCCTCTCGTGGGAAGATGTGGGAATAAAACCGCTGCCTTTCAAGAGAAAAGAGCAGGTACTTCAGATCTCGTTTTCAAAAGGAAGAAGGATTTGCAAAAGTCCAGCAGGGCTCAGCTACGCTGGGGGAACCCAGGGAGGACGTTTTCAGGGCAGAAAATACCTCCTCCTCCTCCTCCTCCTCTCTCCCTTTCTTACAAACTGCTGGTTTCTCCCTGCAGTGGGTGGCTTTGGCAGCCAACGTCCTGACCTTGCGATGCAGAACCCGAGGGGAGAACACTGCCTAAACCTTTTAAAATGCTGCAACTCCATCCAGGTCCTATTCAGCTGCTTATTTTTTGATGGGAACACCAACTACGGTCATCTTCTCACATTTCTATGGAGTTTTTTTAAAAAAAAACGCGAGCGAGGAAAGGGCCGCTGAAGGGATGTTAAAACATGGGACACGTACGCCCAGCGGGAAAGGTTTCCTGGGCATCAGCAAGAGTTGGAGGTATTAATACTTTAGGCAAAGTATTAATACTACTTTACAATGCCTTGGTAAGGCCACACTTGGAATCCTGCCTCCAGTTTTGGTCACCACGATGTAAAAAAGATGCTGAGACTCTAGGAAAGAGTACAGAGAAGAGCAACAAAGGTGATCAGGGGACTGGAGGCTAAAGCATATAAGGAACGGCTGCTGGAATTGGGTATGTCTAGTTTAATGAAGAGAAGGACGAGGGGGGACAGGATAGCAGCCTTCCAGTATCTCAGGGGCTGCCCCAAAGAAGAGGGAGTCAAGCTATTCTCCAAGGTGCCTGAAGGCAGGACAAGAAGCAATGGGTGGAAACTAATCAAGGAGAGAAGCAACCTGGAATGAAGGAGAAACTTCCTGACAATTATAACAATTAACCAATGGAACAACCTGCCTCCAGAAGCGGTGAATGCTCCAGCACTGGAAGTTTTGAAGAAGAGACTGGACAGCCATTTGTCCGAAACGGTGTAGGGTTTGTAGGGTTTCCTGCCTGAGTAGGGGGTTGGACTCGGTGACCTCCAAGGTCCCTTCCAACTTTATTATTATTATTATTATTATTATTATTATTATTATTATTATTACTACTACTACTACTACTACTACTACTACTACTACTACTACTACTACTAAAATAAAGTCAAAGGTTTTAAAGGGATTTTCTCCTCCCCTGGCAGAAGTTAGGGGAGAAAAACTGCCCATCTCCTCCATGACCTGACTTTACACGGAGAGGTCTCCATGTTCTCCATCCGAGAACATTTAATGGAGGGATGTCCAACCTGGGCAACTTTAAGACTTGTGGACTTCAACTCCCAGAATTCCCCAGCCAGTCATGCATCACTGAAGTCCACAAGTCTTAAAGTTGCCCCGCTTGGACATCCCTGATCTATTGCTTCAGGTGAGGCTAATGAATACGGACCTCCACACAGCACTCTGATACAGATCGGGTAAAAGGAAATTTGGAGGGTTTATGAGCAAGGATGATCAGCTCTGATAACCTGCAGTCTGCGGGGAAAAAAATCATTTTTCGTTCAATATTAGTGGAAATGAGGACAAGCAATCTAAGCAAGAGAATATTTTCAGACTAAGGCAAACCAACCTCAATTGACCTCTTTTTTCCTCTTGGTCTTT